ATTCTGGGGCTGTTCTCTAAGCTCTGTTGAGCAACATTAGACTTTTCTAGAAATAGCAAAGTGAGATAAGAGAACTATGATCAACGACAAAGGTGATATTCCAAACGGCTCATTGTTTATTTTTATATGAATCATTCGCTTATTTGTAACCAAAGACATAATTGGTATATGACCAAAAGAGGTAGAGAAAGCGTACCCTGATACAGTTGAAAATTGGTTTATTTAATTTCCTGATGAATCCGATTTGCATTGGCAAAACACTTGACGAGAATAATGTTACAGTTCTGGTGTTTAGGATTTATTATACGTCTTAGGTTCCGGTTCTACGTTTCGTTCTATTTTACCTTGATTCATCACTGGATTTTGAACAGATATTCGTTAGATTCTCTAAAACTATCCTCGTTATTTCCATTTTAAGTTTAAGTTTTCATATGCGAATTATTTCGGCCACTTTCACTCAACAAGGCGCAAACTTGGCAACGTCGCATTCGATGATTAAAAATACTTTTTCAAAGTAAATCATACCAGTATTATTTATAAATACAGCTCTTTCCTATTCATGAGAACAATATGATACGCATTGTTCTCAATTTTTGGCGACAATTTCTCTATACAGGTTGTAAATTTTGAAGCAAAAAACAATACGTCATCTATTTCCAGATTGAAGACGATAAACAAGTAAAAAACACATAATAAATGTTATGTGGAATGTAAACATAATAGGTATGAATATTTCAAAATTCCATTCCTATCTGAAGGTCTCCTTTCCAAAATATAGATGAACACATTTCATTAATTGTTTTGCTTTTCGACTATTTATGTTTTTTGGCAATAATGTTTATCGATTCAATAATATTTACCAAACTCAGTACATAGTGGAAATTATCATGCGTCACATTTTGAATAATAACTTTCCCACTGGTTCAGTAGTTTTTTGATCACTATAGACGATAATTCAAACTTATATATCTTTTTTAGCTTTTTACTTTTCCAATAGTAAGTACAAAGAAGTTTTCTGTAGCCTATGATAAATTGGAGACGTAAAAAGCCAAAGAAGATTTTTTGTAAAATAGATAGTTCAATTCATATACAACCCACAAAAAGATGTACTTGAAATATCTTCCAAATCAACTCATTAGTTTTAATTTCTTCGTAGGAATATATGGTATTCGTTTTCGATTCCAGGGACTACTCAAATGTTCCAAATCAAATATACAGTGTTTCCTAGCTATTAGCTTGTTTCAAAAGTTTTGTCCGTTTTTATAAGTTAAAAAAAAAATCTGTTTAAAATCTGTTTTTCCGTTAATCAGCTGTCGCCCCCATACGAACGACAACTCTCAGAAGTTAAGAAACTTGTGTGAGCTAAGGATTAACGAGGTCTTACCTTTTAACGTGTGATTCCTAACACGGCAAAGTGTTAGGAATCATAAGTTACAAGTTATAATCCCATCCCACGCACCGGTTGTGATGGGTCAGTCTCCACCAGGGTTCCCAAATCCTCGTCCTGGATTACTATAGGTCGACCACTTCGGGGCTCATCTTAGAGGCTAAAATCTCCAGTACGAAATTTTACAAACCAACGTCCAACAGTGCATTCATCAACACTATCATTGCCAAATGCCTGTTTTCGGACTTCCGGTAGTGCTTTGGTTCAATTTGAATTCGTAGAGAAAAAGTGGCCGAGAATCGCTCAACGTTAATCGCTGATTAACGGAAAAACAGACAGACAGACAGACATCATATAGTATTAAGCTGAAAATAACCAAAAAAAATCAATATAAAAAAATTAACAGCATCAATGTGTATACCACGACACAGAGATACGGACATTGAGATAAGGAGCTACAAAAACACATTACATTAAAACGGACGAAACTTTTGAATTTGTATTTTTATTGCATGAAAATACAGGGAATTATTGATTTCATGACAAAGTGAAGTAATTGTATTTTAGCTTGACTTTCATGATAAACATATTGGAGGACAGAATTCGAAACTTGAAATGAATAAAAAATAAAATGAAAACAAATTTAAAGTTTTCCGCCGAAATACACAGTGCATTTTAAATATGAGGATACACTCCAATGCTTGCATTTTTTTACAAAAGCAACATGTGATGTCAACAAAATGAAGTTTCTCTCCATTTCCATTAGAGAGTTTGAGTAAGGTCAGATCTTACCACTATTTATTTTTCAGGAAAATGTTATTCAAATAAAATATTTTTATTCAACATAACTTATAGGGGTTTGGAAAATCTAACAATCTGAAAAAAATTAGTAAATACCGAAATGATCAAAGACGGATGAACCATAAACTTGAGATTAAACCTTTTGACAACTTTTTTAAAGAAATGAAAATAATACAAATCAAACAATCTGACATTTATTTCAGTGAAAAGGTGTTGATATAAATACATACACGTAGAAAAATTTGAATGACATTTTCCCAACGGAAGAGAAATTAAAAAAAAACATATTGTTGACGTCAAAAGTTGACTTCTAAAGACAAAATGAGATATTCTCGTTTTTTATTTTATTGAAAACAATAAAAACAAAGTTCAATATGAATTACACAGACACTTGTTGTGGTACCTTCAAGGATAAAAAAATGTTTACTGTATATGCTATATCTATGTACCTATATTTGTGTACTTTTTGTACATGAGAACAAATCGAATTTTGAAGATGACAAATATAGACATCAATATTCCACCAGACAGAAATCCAATTATATTGTTCCTAAACATAAATTGAAAAATACAGAGCATGGGCCGCATTACGCAGCAATTTAAGTTTACAACCATTTACCCTTGAAAACATGTTTTCGATCTGTTATATGACATTGAACCATATTCATTACAAGAATTCATGGACGAATAACCTTTTTTAAGTTTGTATTAAATGTGAGCTTTCTAGTAACTTCAATATTACATCATTCCCTTTAATCTATGTCTGTGAAATATACTTATTTTTCCTTCTCATTTTTTATATACTCATTGTATTTACCTATACCAGGTGATTTTATTTATTTTAATACTAAGAGACATTTGTGTTGTTAATGTAATCAGTTTTCTGACTTAAGTTTTATCAATTGTTAAAATTGATAGCTTCAATAAATCTATTTATCTATTGAAACAATATTTTATCAAAGATTTTTCTTTATTTTCCAACTCTCATCAAGTTTTCATAAATAATGTTTTATTATAAAGAAGCAATTTTTCCACAAAGTTGATGGTTATTGAAACAAAATTAGTTAGTTAACCCATAAAATTATTTATGGATATTACAATTCGGAATAAATTCTAGTGAGGAATGTTTGACAACTAGTGAAACTAAGTGGGAAATATACAGATCTTCAAAAGCTCCGAGTTGAGAGGTTCCTAAGAGTATGAAAACTAATAGAAAATAAGTTATTTTAGAATGAGATAGTGAACATGTAGTGGTCCATGGCTCACATTAGTGAGGCATGACTTACTTTGAGATGTGTGGCAAGACAATAATGACCTTCATGATTGCGGTAGTCTCTGTGAATAATCACGTTTGTTAAGACACTCGGGACCTTTTTCAATGGCTTCACGAATTATCCTGCCCTGAAGAGTTTTCTTTGTAACAATGGTTTTGGTGTTTCTGAAGTTTTCTGTGTGGACTGTTTCAATGTGATGTTTGAAGAGGGACGAGGTTGGATCTGATTTGCAAACAGCTAGATCCAGCCTCATTCCTTTTCAAAACATCACCTTGAAACAGCCCGTTGACTCTCACGCTCACGTGGTAACAAATCTGCATCTACTTGCTCGGCTCCAGACTTTCAAAACCGAACACAACTATTTACTGCATTAAACGATTTTCAATTATTAAAAAATTCAAAATTGTTTTTATATTTCAAAAAAAAAACATTCCTTATATTTTTTCTGTATTGTTTGGAATTGTGTTTTCAAGACAAATAACAGATTAAAAATAAGGTCAGTACCTGTAAAAGAAAATATAATTTTGTTTCGAGCCTGATAATTAAAAAAGGTGCTGTGGAACTGGAAGGTACCAATCAAGAATTCTTGAAGATGAAGTCAAACAAAATAAAACACTACATTAATATTTGTTTTTCAAAAATATTTATTAAAACTTGTTTTAAAAACAAAATTAATATTACACAAAATTTACAAAAAAGTTAATAAGTTAATGAGGAAGAACAAAACAATTATATTAAATAAAAAAATCTGTAAAATCAGTGCGAATAAAAATATACATACACGAAAATTATTTTACAATGTATCTTCAAAGAAAGAACATTAAAATTCCACAGGTTCTATCAAAAATACGACAACGAGTAAACATAAAAAAACAACATTCTCCTTAAACTAACATGATACAAAATAAACGTAAAAAAGCTATTCAAGGTTTAAAATTGCGTACAAATTAAAATGATAGTGATAAATGCCCTTTTTGAATGGCCTCTAACGAAGATATCTACACTATACAGCTTCCGCTTTTTTCAAAAGCGTCAGAATTATATTACAGCTCCAAATATCTGCGAAACTATGAGTGAAAAAGTGATTCACAAGAAATTTATCAACAGTTGTAATTTCTTGCGAAAAAGTTCAAACTGTAGTCCATAAGTATCAAAATAACTAGGACCTGAAGCTGCCCAAAGAAGATTGAAAAGCATCTGAAAAGTCTAATGCATATTCCTCAAAGACTAAAGAGAAGATTCAACAAGTTTTAATGAAAAAATAATGGAGTCAGAAGTGGGATCGGTCACGATAGATATATTTTTTCAAATAGAAACAATGGCTGATATTTTCTAAACGGGAAGACATGGAAACTAGTGACTTCTGCACTAAAATTCCATTTATAAAAGGGAACTCTTAACAAAACCGAGCTTTGTGTTCACCTTCTTCCCGTTGATGAATTAAAACACACATTACTGCAATATGCACCATGAAATTTGCTCGAATATACTCTATAAATTACTCACTAAAATAACTAGTGATAAAGAAGCTTCAAAGAAAACCCACATTTTCGTCGAGAATTTCTCAAAAAACTATCCACCAAACCTGTATATTCTTACCAAAAATACTTCAAGCCCCTGATTTATTGCTCTTTATTGAACTCTCTCCCCGAAGAGCGACTTCTCACCCATCTAAATATACTTTGTACTCGATCAATACAAATTACTAACAACCTTTTTGTACAATAAGAAAATAAAAGATGATTGTCTGTTCTTGGGAAATTTGTCGCCTACAGATAGTTAAAATCTAAAAGGTACGGGATGAGGCCAAAAATTCTCGCAACTCTTAACTTTACCCCGTACAATAACAATGTCAATGTACATGCTACAACTTCTCTCACTCACTCACTCTCTCTCTCTTACTCGTTCGCTCTTGTCTAGTACTACTTAGGATAACACTGGTGTTTGCTTTTCGTAATCGCATTACGATTGTTTAAATTTTAGCAGTCTTCGATCTACGGAGAATTCGTCAAGGACAAGACGGTTCGCTAGAGACGCACCTACGTAAAACGGACGTATCGACGTTGAAACGAGATGCCAGGAGATAGTTGTCCGCATTACGCAGCAATTTAAGTTTACAACCATTTANAGAGACGCATCTACGTAAAACGGACGTATCGACGTTGAAACGAGATGCCAGGAGATAGTTGTCGTCCCCTATTGGAGCGGCTCTGAAACGAAATAGTCAAAAGGTCATTGTCATTGCTTGATCAATGTATCGAATGAAGTTGGAAAATGAGTTCTATAATAGTTTTTCCACCCTTAAAGATACATAATACAAGGTGGACACAATGTGTGAAAAAGTGGAAACGTTAAGCTGATACTTTTGCATCTTATTCTTTTCCCCCTAAATGTTTCAAAACGGAAATTGAAAAACATAACAAAATACTGCGGAAGTTATTTTATATGAAAAGGTATTACAATGTGAATGTTAAATATTTTGGAAAGTAATTGGGAAATGTGATATGGAAGTTATATAAAATAGATCTGAAATTTTATTTATAATATAAATCTGTGATAAAATATGGTTTTCCATAAAAAAACAAAATTTTAACGTACTTCCGGCGTAACCTGGAAATTGAACTATTTTTACTGAATTAGTAATGAAAATAATACTGTTTTTTTACAATCATTGATTGTATAGGAAAAGTCAACAAAAAAATCATTATCACTGTTGGATTTTATTTACATCATTCTGTTAGGATATTCAAATTAATATCAAAACAGAACGAACACAAAAATACATATAAAATTAACATACTGAGAAAATAACCAACAGAGTGAAAACTATGTTCCATGAGAAAAATATTTAATTTTATTTCAAACATATCCAAAGTCAAACCTATTTTCAAATTATTTGGTAGTTTATCAAATAGTATTAGTCCAGCACTAGCTGGTGATCTGCATGATGGAATTTGAAAATCATTTTTTTGTTTTGTGTACACATGTACACATACAATCAAAAAATGTAAATTGCTGGTAGAGTCATAAGTTGAAGCTTTTTAAATAATTCCCTACAACTTGTTGGCAGATTCAGTCCTTATGTTTCTCTTTTGACTAATAAAAACACTACATGCATGTGAGGACCAACCTCAAAAACGCTCCATATCTTAATCTTGATTCCATTTGAACAAAGTAAATATTTCGAAGTGAATAGGTGATTCTGTGTGTTGAGAATTTGAATAAGTTGCTCACTGTGAAACTTTGTTATAGTTGAATACCGATCACTTCTAGAGAATATTCATGACATGTTTTCTGATGATTATGAAATCTTGAAAAATTAGTTTTTCTGATTAGCTGAAAACCATGTATTCATACTTTCAACAGCATCATTACAATAGATTTGTAATGCAGTTATTTTCAACACAGGTCCTAAAACTGAAACTTCAACATAAAATATTTTCAAGTGAATAGCATAGATTCATTTAAATAATTTATATGTGAAATAAAAAGTACTGGGCTTAGCACAGAACACCATAGGATTCCGGCTGATGATTTTGTGTCATTTCTCATGTTTGACGAAAATAGAAAGGTATCACTCCATCTACTTGAAATATTTTCTATTTCATATGCTTGTAACTTAAAGAGTAGTTTTTCGTGGTGAACACTGTCAAACGCCCTTCTGCGATCATAGAAAATTCCAACAGGACATTCACCATTGGCCAATAATATTCTGATAAAATGACCGGATCACTGTTTAACTACTTCTACCACTTCTGAAACCATGTTGATTATGACAGAGAATTTTTCTAGTCTTTCAGATAGGTAATGAAAATACTGAAGACACTGTGATGGGTCAATAATTATCTTAATTCTATTCTGACAACTTCCAATGTATTGGAATATTTTTTTCATTTCTACCTTCTCAGGAAATATACTATTACACGGTGAAAGATTTGCAAGGAACATTATTGGTTTTATTACAGAATATAAAACATTTGCAATATAATCAGAACAACAAGATTGAGTGTTTTTGTTTTCAGTAAAGTTTAGAGTTCTTCTCCTGTGTATGGACTAATAAGAAATGTTGAAGAACGTGTAGAGTTTATGTAACTATGATTCAAATTTATTACTCCTTACATTACAATATAAGGATAATTTTTACTGGTCTGTGTCTACTTTTAAACTTTATTTAATTTTTATTTTTAGTTTTCCTCGTTGTTTTTATTTGTACAAATGTGAAATTGCTCATAGAAATATAGAAAAAAATCATTTACATTTCAAATGTTTAATGAAAAAACGTTGTTATCAGTCCTGAGAGTTTTGTGAGGCCAACAGAACTCACAGAGAGCAGGGCAATCTGCTATATATTAATGCTATATATTATTAAACGGCGACACGTGCTTTGCTATACAAGAGCATCTTCGGGCATCACAGTATTTTGAAGATCATCTGATAGACTATAGAGAGTACTAGCAAATCATTTTAATATTATGAGTATTTTCTTTTTTCAAGTGTTTGTAGTCATGATTTTTTGAATTTATTCTAGGTCCACACTTTGGTTGCGTTTATGACCATGATCTTAAAGAAACAATAGCTTGGCTGATAGGTAGAATTGGAACCCCTGGTTCAAGATGAATATGAAGAAAATACTTTCCCACACAAGAACAAAAACATAGTCTCTCAACGCGGGTGTTCCTAACGAAGCCTCATCAAGAGATGATAAAAATTTATTATTTATTTATAACTTTACCCCGTACAATAACAATGTCAATGTACATGCTACAACTTCTCTCACTCACTCACTCTCTCTCTCTTACTCGTTCGCTCTTGTCTAGTTTAGCTTTTGCTTAGATGCACTTTAGGTTACAAATAGCGTTTTTATATGAGAGGTCCGCACTAAGAAGACAATTAATGGTTGCGGGAGCACTAAGTGAAGACACCATGCAAAAATCGCAATTTCTGGCAATCTTTAGACAACAGGAATATTCCAAAATACGGAGAACATAAGACTACACGTCTACACTTGTCTACTATCCTTACTTCACTTCCTTACTTCACTTCTGTTTTGAAGCTTCTGTAGTCTGTTTAGATTTCATTACTCACAAAATAGAGTAATGTACTGCAATAGTCAAAGTGGGGTGCTATTATTGATTTATAAATTGTTAATTTTACATATTCACTCATTTTATTTTTCAATCTATATAAAAGATGAATTTTCGTGGCTATTTTCTTCTGAATATAACTACAGTGCGCGTTAAAGTTCAATTCTTGATCCAATACCACTCTCAGATATTTAAACGTTGTTACCCTTTCAATGATGACATTATCAATATAAAGATTCAATGACAGCTGTTCATCTTGCAGTTGTCTTAAACGATATTTGCTACCTATTAACATGATTTTTGTTTTATTAACATTTAACTTGAGGCCGTTGTCACATAACCACTCGTTTATATTTAATAGTTCCTCATTTCGTTAGTTGTCCCAGAACAGTACAACATAGTGTCGTCGGCAAACAATCGTTTTATGTTACACCTTTTAACATGTATCACAATATCATTCATGTACAGCAAGAATAGCAGTGGACCCAATACTGACCCTCGAGGGACTCCAGAAATTACATTTAAAGTACTGGATGTCACTTGATTATATTTAACTAGCTGCTTCCGATATGTGAGGTAATTTATGAACCATTTTAATACTTTTTAATAGAGTCCATACTTATTTAATTTAATTAAAAGTAACTCAATGTTGACCGTCTCGAATGCCCTTTGTAAATCCAGAAAGACAACACCTATAATACGTTTTTAGATAGCTCAACTTTCCACAAAGAGATTAGAAATTGCAGTGCAGTTTCACATGAATGGGATTCACTAAATCCAGATTGTTCTTTAATCAAAATATTATGTTTCGCTATAAATTTCATCAATTGCTCTTTCACTGTGATTTCTAATATTTTCTCATAAATTGGCAGGGTATTTATGGGTCTAAAATCAGATCCTAAAACAGTGTTTGTAATTTTTTCAATAGGAACAATGATGGCAATTTTCCAGCCGTCAGGAAATGTTCCAGTGGTTAATGATAAATTTATCAAGCCCAAAAACCTATTTCCCAGTATTTCAAATGTTAACTTGATTATATTCAGATTAATTCCATTGTCATCTGTATTATTTTTCTTGAGGGAAAAAATTATCTTTTTTAACTCGCACAATTCAACATATTAGACAGTCTCATTTTGATAACCGTTCTAGTCTTCTATATCTCTTAGACAAAAACAACACACAAAAGATTTAAGAATGACAAAACCAAGGAATGAGATTAATTTAAATTATGTTAAAATACATTAAATAAGTATATGGGAATGCAAAGACTATTTTATATGCCAATAATATTAATTTCATTCGTTTGATTTCACAAAATCCATCATGATATAAGGAATAAAAATCAATTTCATGTATCTAGAACAAAAATTAAAAATTGTATCAATTCACTTTTTTAAGGTACACCTTGTTTCTCGAAAACCAGCTGAAAAAACATTCAATGTCACTGAACATATAATTTTTTCCACCTTTTTCAATAATACATTTGTTATAATAATTTGTAAGGTTTGGTGAGGATTGAAAGTAAATTAAATCTTTATTTGAAATAGTTATTCCTAATATATCTGATAATACAAAATCCAATTTCAAATAAACATTTCTTGTTTTTTCAATGAACTCAACAACATAAAACAAATGCTTTCTTAAAAAAACCGTTACTCACAAACTGCCATATTTGGTATTCCGATCGAGCGTCCTCTTGTACAATCTATGCTTTTGCTCTATCTGAAACGCGGCTTCTCGCAACTGAATCAATATCTCGAACACTGTACTGTCTTCGTTCTGGAACATGTTGATGAATGTCTCGAGTGTCTGGATATGCGTAATAATCAACGAGTGGATCCTCTGCAAGTCCCTTTCCGGATCCAGTGTCATGTGGTAGTTGTTGTCTGTTTGGGATACTTCGCTGCAGCCTGGAGCCAGTTCGTTAGGAGACTTACAACTATAAAAAATAATATAGATAGATAGATACATGTGTTTCATTGTCAAGAAATAATCTTATTGACAAATAGTTCCCTGAAACTAAAATAGATACGAATATAACAGTAATAATGAAGGAATGAAAGTCAATACCCGTAAAGACATTGGTCCATTCAATACTTCATATAAAACAAATTTTATTGAATTTGAAGCCTCAAAATACTCACCATAACCACTGACCGTTGATGAAAGCAGACGGATGGTATTTTTTCAGGCGGTTCGCATTCGTTTGACAGATTTTAGTGAGCAAATCCACCCATTCCTTTTCCTCAACACAATTTGCAGCCTGCACGTAGAGAGCCCTTTCCGGCTGAACTATTTGGAACATGTTTTTCATTTTGAACGACGTTTCAGCCAGTCTTTCCACCGCCAAAATATTTGTGAGGGGGATGCGACACAAAGCATCCCTTCCTGGAAGATAAATATGAAATTCATTTAATGTCGTATACTGAGTTTGATTTTCCTTCCTTTCTTTGGAAGATTCCCTCATTCTTTTTTTTGTATCAAGATGGAGTAGTAGAAAGCCAAAAACTTTCTTTCCCAAAAATTAATCACTCCTAAAAATATAACCCCTTCAATTTAAATTACTAATATATGTTGAAATTAGGATCTGAATCAAAGTAACTATATAAAGTTATAACTTCAACTCACAGACTTTACCCAGTCTCTCAGGAATAGTCAGAATTGGTGATTAGTCAGGAATTGTTTGTAATTGATTATAAGGAATTATACTAATTGTAGTTATTATTTCTTTAAAGTTGAAAAAAATATTTTCTGAATCATGTTGATGTAGGGGCCTTCAGGTATTTCAATTCATAGGTATACTTTTTAATAAAAATAAATGCTTTACTTCAATATAAGTTTAGTCGATATTATCCATTTGATGAATTATCAAAATATTCAAGATCTCGAACGCACTCACAATTGCTTACCTCTGCTTTTCGAATAGCTGAGATCTTGGGTGGTAAGTCTGAAGTAACGTTGTTTGAAATTCTTTCTGCCGAACCTCTTCCTTCCTTGAGCCCTTTTGATCATTAATCTGCAATGAAGAGAATGATGTTTTCAGTTCCAGTAGGGAAAAAGTACAACAGATGATATACATGACGGAAAAACAACGAAACAAAAAAGGATCCGTTAAAGTTTTCGTTACGATACGTACCTTGTTATATTCCTGCAGCGTGTTAAGATATAAAGCCAGAGTTAATAAGATTACAGTAACTAATATTTTACACAAAAATAAATAAGAAATTAATTTTGTAAAGAGAAAAACTTGTGATAAAAAAAGTGAAAATTTCTCTAATGACCAACGGACAATATTTGTCAAAGATTAAACTGGTGTCCCTGTTTTATATTTCGTTACTAGCAATCGTGATTTCTTTTCTAACAATAACTTAAATACCTAGACTTACATATTTCCATAACTGTACATCAGGATTTCTAAACAATATTCATTCAATATCATTTGTACTCATTATTTGAAGGAAGAATAACTTGGGCATCTTCCAAGAATGGTAAAAAAAACTTTTATTGTCAAAACAGGCACTTGGCCCAATTACAGAACCAGTATATAGTTTGGGATGAATGTGTTCAATTTAGGAAATATATACATAACGTAATAGTAATACATTCATAGAACATTTAATGAAAAAAATTCAAGTAAGTGTTTGATGATTGGCAAACATAATATACAGTTTTGGAATGGAAGTGTTGAATATAGGAAATATACATATATTGTAACAATAATACCTTCATGGAAAGTTTGGTTTTTACAACATATTGTTATAATACAACATTAATAATTTAGTTATGAAGAACTGGAATAATTTTTGGGAATATCTGAGAAGAAATGATTCCGTTTTTCAACAACAAAATATAAAAACGCCCCTCCTTCTTTGCTCCTAATAGAAATATTGTCAATTCTTTTTTAAATATGCCTGACAAATAAAAATATATTTTGATTATTTCGGAATAATTATGAGTTTCATTTTTGTATATTATTGATCCTTTTCAAAGTCAAAACCAATTTTCCCATTTTGAACATATCATTTCCATTGCACACAATGTTGAAATTATTACATCATAGATTGATGAATACAATTTGAAATAGCCAAATTGGATGAGATCTCAGTCATCAGGTACATTCATGAGAAAATTCAACATACAGGCATGATAATACACAGTGGAGACTGTACATAATTGACTATTTAAACTCTCTACTGTCTAAACTGTATATGTAAACATAGTATGATGATACGAAAGAATCAACTTGAAAACTGACTCACCCCTCTTTCAAAGTTACGGGCATATCATTATCGATAACCCTTTGACTAGCGGTACAGTTCGCCGAAATTATCTCGAGAAACTGCCGGACGGCCGTCATATGCGTCTCCGTGTAAAACGCCTTATACAGCCCCTCCATGTACTCCTCTTTGCACACCTGCTGCGCAGACCTAGAGCTCACCAAGTTCCCTAGAGACTGGATCGTCTTTGATATCAAAGTCAGCGTCCTATTCGTTTGACAATCCTACAAAAAAAAAAGATATTCTGTTCAAAAGTAGGTCACAACAAAGAAATAGTTTCTTATATATTTCAATTCTTTGGCTACAGTAAATTTATTTGGTAAGTTACAAATAATTGCGGATGAGACCACTATAATTTACAATGGAAATAGTGTAGAAGAAATCAAAATTAATATTTCATAAGACCTTGATCAAATATCTTTATGACACTGAATTTTCAGAAATCTTCATATNATGCTTTATGTCATTTATGTATAGAAGAAACAATAGCGGACCCAAAATGCTTCCTTGTGGAACTCCATGTTGCACTTCCAATGGAGCTGACAATGAATTACCAACTTTTGTTTGTTGTTGTCTACCTGTTAAATAGTTGTTAATCCATTCAAGTACTTTTCCCCTTATGCCGTAGAGTTTCAGTTTTTTTAGGAGTATATTATGGTTAATGGTTTCAAATGCTCGCCTCAAATCCAAAAACACAACCACAGTGAACATATTTTTACTCATACTACTTTTCCATTCATTAACAGTTAACTGAATGGCTGACTCACATGAATGATTGGATCTAAAACCAGATTGATTCATAAAAAGTATACTCTTTTCATTACAATATTGCAACAGTTGTTTATAAACTACTAGCTCTAACAGTTTTTCAGCACAAGGTAAAGTGTTGATAGGGCGGAATTCACTACATTTATTTGTATTAGTCACTTTTTCAGTTGGAGTAACAGTACTAATCTTCAATTCTGTAGGAACCATACCTTTTTCTAATGATGTATTTATAAAATAACACCATACATGACCAATTACCTGAAAACTGTTTTTTATAATTTTACTATACATTTCATCAATAGGTGAACCTTTATTAGCATCAATTTCCGATATTACTATTTTCAGCTGTTTTAGGTCTATTAGTTCGAAGGCACTAAAGCTATCTTGATCTTGATCTTTATGACACTGAATTTTCAGAAATCTTCATATATCTTCATATCAAAAAGGTCTATATCAACTGATTCAAAAGATCCAGTTAAATTTAATAATGAAAATATTAAATACTCCCCTAGTGCTAAATTTCTTGGTCTTATTCTAGATGAAAATGTATCATGGAGAAAACACATTGAAACAATAAAAAAAAATAGCTCCCATAATTGGAATTTTATTCAAAATAAGAAATGTTGGGAATGGCAACAAATTCCTTATGGAAACCAATTTTTAAAAAATCAGAACAAAATAAGATATATATACAAGTTGAACTACAAGGAGCATACAGTCAACTTGTATAAACCAAAAAAACTATTAGATTTGTCATCATTACATCCATTCAAATTATGTACCTTTATTCATTTGGCGAAAAATAAGCTCAAACATTCAAATTTGACTTTCAAAATCAATAGTGATCAACAACCATTCGACAAGATATTCTGGCAATCTGAAATTAATGGAAATGAAAACAAATATTGGGCAAAATTTGATTTACTATAAAGGTATCAAATTTAACAATGAGCTACCGCATATTTATATTGTTTTCAAGTTTCAGTTATGATTTATCTTTTCTTGTATGCTCTGTTCGTACTCAGTTATGTTATAGTTTGTTTTTTGAATAATTATTGTTTCCCTGCTATACACATTGTATGTTTTTTGAGAAAATAAATTGTTATTATTATTATATTGGGAGTCATTTACATCATTATTGAAAGCATTGTCAACGAGAGGAGTACGACTGAAAGGTCTTACCCCTTGACTCTCGTAGAAAATTCCTGTTTTATGAAGAAAATAATAAAATATTTATCGAGCACATTTGCTGGAGGTAAATACAAGGATTTTTTGCTGGTGACTACTATCAATAATTCCTTTGAATAAGAAAGGAACTCCAAAAAAAATTGACAAACACAGACTAACTTCTCTTTTCTCTTCTTTATCTACTTTGTTGAGTAAGAAGTACGGGCGACATCTTACCTTACGAATACGCTACCTATAAGATCTATGGGAAATAATACATACAATTTTTTCCACGAAATATGTAATTTTAAATACCACCACAAAAAAATTATAACTCACCACCGGTTGAGTTGTCAGATCAAACAACTTAGGCCCCAGAATGGCGGGAGCAAAGAACCTCAGGAAAATGAACCCCGAGATGACAGAATATCGCACGCCCTTGTCCTCGGGAAAGTGACGCATCGCGCACTCTTTAAGATTATGAAAAATCTGACACATCAGTGCCGGGCAATGCACAGCGCTTTGCGTGATTGCGTCAAAAATCTTCTGGATGTAGTGCTTGAGGTTGGCCAGGTTGGTGGCTATGGTGTTAGCGTCCCTTACCCTCGTCGGGTCTATTTCACAGGGCTTGTGCTCATTGACGATGAGTTCAAGCGTGGGCCGCAGCGTCTTGTGTAGGTACTGGATGCCTATCAGGCGCATCGCTTCGTCCATCATTTTCGACACCAACGTGTTGCCTCGGAATATAGTGGTGGGATCCCTGTAGTGAAAAAAATTGTTAAAATTGCAATGATGAAATAGTTGGAATGTTCAGAGCAGAATTCATTAATCATTAAAAATAACATACCCATATAACATGCATATACAACATTGTCAGACTAGTCACAAAATCAGAAAAATTGTATGTATTTATTTTCACACGAAGATATACAGTCTAATCTGTAAACTCAGCGAAACTGTTTTTGAATTCCATGATTTTTTCAATATTTTGTAAGAATCGACAGTCAATTACATAGGTGTTAAGCTTGATTCCAGACTAAATTTCAACGACCACGTCAATAACAAAAAAAAAAGTGATTGCAAAAGCCGCACATTTCACAAGTTTGACAAACCCGGGAGCAGGTGCAAGCATATCAACAGAAAGCCGAATATATAAACTGTCGTCCACTTATTGAATACTCGCACCCAGTGTTTCTCAATATCAAACAAAGGGCCTTGAAAACAATTAAAATATCTGTAAAAACAGCTATCAGGAAAATAACAAGATCAAGGCATCCCAATAACCCCAAACACAACCCTCCAAACCCTCTGCTGTACCAACTCACTGGTATTATCCCTATTGAGGAAAGACTACCGCCACTTACTCAGAAGTTTGCTAGAAAAGATGACAATGTAGGAATCATTAGAAAGTATGCTGTGACAAGAAGCCCCCATGCAAGAGTACGACATCGACACCCAACAGAAACACTGTTAGAAAAATTAACACAACTTTATCCATGACATTGTTTTGTTTGTTCTTTTTTATATTCATATAACTTTTTTTTGCAATATTGTAAAATAAGCTATGTAATTTCAAAGCAATTTTGTTACAGGGACACAAGGACTTCAGTCGATAGCCAGTTGAGCAAAATTGTAATTTTGTTCAATAAATCACAATTATCATTATTATTATTTATAAGATCCTGATTGCTTTGTTGTAATATATGACTCCTATGATGAAGGTTGCAATCAGATCAATAAAAGTGGTCTATATGATGTAAGCCAGCAATACATCCTATTATTCCTAATAACTATCAATGTACTCAATTCCAAAATCAATCAGTTCGAGTACTTGTGTTCCATGTTATTGTCTCACAAAGAAGCAAATATGAAATTACCTCTTCAATAAACCTGTGGAAACTGATTTTCGAGTATACATACGATTAAGCTACTATACTATTCTTTAGTAAGGCCTAAACTAGAATTTGCTTCTATTATTTGGTCCGGGGAATATTAAAAGTATCTATATGAATTGGAAAAGGTCCAAAATAAATTACTAAGGCATTTATACTTGAAAAAATATCATGTGTGGCCTGATTATAATACCATAAGAACATATCAGTTGAGATCGGAATTTAAATATTATCTCTGGAACAACGAAGAGCTTGAACTGTATGATATTTCTGCACAAAATAATAAATAATAAAATTAACTTATCAGAAATTCTCAATGCGATTCCATTTAACATTCCTCCTCAACGTACACGTTCTACCCTCATGTTCAATTTATCAAGAATAGGGCAAGGGCACCACTTGTTTACATTCTCAAATTAGCTAATAATTTCAACACTTTGATTGATTTAGGCTGGACCTCACCCCCAGCACTTTATCGTAAAAATGTTTTAGACTGCATATTGAATACAAGTATTTGAGACTGATTTTCCACATCCCCACAATTTTAGACTCAGTTCATCTCCTACAATTCTGGGCATTGACTAATAGGTAGAGTATAATATAGACGATATTTTTATGTAAATATCTGTAATTCACCTTATTTATCCAAGTAATTAGGCTGAAATAGCCTGTTTGGATAATAAATAAATAAATTATTAATAGGCAGAAATCATAAAAAAATATTTTTTGAAGATAATTCATGAACACAATTTCATTTATAACAAAAAACTGGCAGGCCATTATTTCTGTTCCACTGTGAAAATTCATCAGGAAATGCATATGCACATTGAACAGGGAGTAGAAATTACTTTTGTGCAATTATCTAATACATACCATTAGGATATATTTTTTTCTACAAGGATTGCAAAGTATATTGACGAGTAAACATCAGCCCATTCTGACACAATCATTTATTTAACACAATAGAGTCTCTCTCTCTCTCTCTCTAGGTTTTCTTGGCCTTTGCTTTCGTAAGGCGCATTTAGCCAAACACAAAACATTCACAAAACATAATGTATGAGGTTATTAAAAGATGACGGATATCAGTTTTTTTTTGTACTTATAAATAGAATTTCACATCGGGTGAAAATAAAAATAAAACATAAATTTCATCACACTTTTAAAGTTGATAAATTGAACAATATGTGCTATGCTATTGGGAGGGATTCCAGTCACCATGTGAGACAAATTTGGTCTTGAATATATTGAGATTTTTTCAAGATTATGTCATGAAAAAGTTTGTAGTATGTATGCATTCAGGCTTTTGAAAAAAACTGAATTTTGAGATGCTCTTTTTGTAACACATGGATATGAACACTCATTTTTGCTATTTTTACCAAATAATATCTTTGAAACCCTTCGAAAACAAAGCATCTGTGATCAAACAACAAACAACACTGTTTTGACCCACTATAAGCCTCTTTAGTGGTGCTAGACTGAAAACCACAAATGCATTGTTGGACTGAACTGTCCTTAAAGTAAGAACGGAAAAACATAGGAATTTCATTATTATTTCAAAAATACTTACGTTACATTCGAAATTTCCACATTAGCCAGCGCCCCAATTATCGGTACAATTTTCTCGTAGTGCAAAAATATCCTGACCAATGGCTGGGCTATGTCCATCTTGTTCACGATTTCCCCTAAGACATATACTGAGGTTGCTGTAATTGGCTGAAATAATAAAAGATTTATTAATCCAGTCACAGTAATAGTGATATATCATCCTGCAGGTTGACAAGAAAAAAATATATGAACATGTGAAACAGAAAATGCAACAAAATTATTCCACTGAAATTATTTTCAACCATTATTGAATCCTAATTCAATAAATAAATTCAAAATTCAATCTAAAAATGAAATTTGGATTTCACGGGTCAGTGTACGCATGGGTTTGGACCTATGCATACACTGACCCGTTTCTTAATGAAAATCAATAGCACTATCCAAGATAATACGCAATAAACTAGAAAGCTCTATATCAACTAGAACCTGAATTTCGTAAAACCAGAACAAACCTAATAGAATTTTCTCAATGAATTTTATTTAAGACGCGTTTCGTTTCTTAGAAGCTTCATCAGTTGGACGGGTGTATCAAACTATTCTACAATGTCGCTTATATAACAATAAATAATTACAAAACCTAATTGGATAAAACATTAAACAACTAATTTCAAAAAAACAAATACAATACAATATTACTTCTAGGAAAACAGGTAAAATATTGGCATTTTTGGTCAAAACTCAATTATAAAGATAATTAAGTCTGGCAAAACGGGTAGATTTTGAAAAAACAAAATATTACCCCTATAGTGAGAAATTATTTCATACTTTATACTAACGCATCTTAAATATCAAAAATGACCTGTTTGTAGTGAAACCACAAGCACACTAGCGTCAAACAGGCTTGTAAATGTTACAATTTTTTTATAAAAGATAACTCACTTGTATGTAGGTACTCTGCAGCAGGAGGTTCTTCAGGTTATCATACACAGAAGCTGGGAATACCCTGTCTTCAGTGTACTGTATTTGAAGCCGCAGGGAACCAAGAGAGTTGTCGCCTGAGAGTCGAGTACCTGGGGGGGTAGAGTGGGTGAGAAACAGGCGGTTTTTTCCAGATCTTGGTTGCAGGTAGTACCTGAATGGAATAAACAAAAACACATAATTAATTTTCCATTTGATATCCACTCTATAGTAAATCATATGAAGGTCATCGTAAAGAGTTTTGGAACACAATGTCCAACTAAAGATAAGTATTTTTTCCGAGTGGTAAGACTGTTGAATATGCTGAATAAATATATAGAGATGGATTTGAAAGAAGAGTTTTCCGTTCATTCACCAGTTTTTTACTGGTGCATACATTTTAGACTAACTGCGTTAAATTGGTATAAATTTAAAAAATTATTATATTCCATTCAAACGATTAATTACTAATAGGAAATTATGTTGATATCAAAAATTCAATCTGAATGATTGAGGTAAAATCCCAGGCCTGACACACATATAAAATACAGTAATTTCGATGTAAAAATTAACAATATTGGAATACATTTTTAATGGAAGTCATTCATTCATACCTGAAAAGATAATAAACAACTCCACATGAACTAATTTCAGACAAGACTCACTATGGGAAAACTTTCACCAATTATGGAAATAACTTTTATTATCCTTTGAGGAGCTGAACTAGTTTCTCAAGCATTGAACAATGGACGGTAATTATTACTGTAAATGGGGTATTTTTGATTTCAGATTCATGAAGTGAAATTTAATGAATTGAACTAACATTATAAGATGAAAAACACTTCGTGAATATAAGTCAGGTTTCAGAAATGAATGGAGTTCAAGACTTTCATTGATATTGAAATGTTTCCAACAAAAAAATATATATATAGTATGGAGGAAAATTATGATTTTCATATAATTTCGAACCAGTTCATATCAATAGACGTATTTTCATATGTTTTTTCGATATACTCTCAGTCAACATTAAAAAAATAAACTGAGATATCTTCAGGAATAAAATATAGGAAAAAAAAAACAGTTGCGTTATGAAGTTATTATTGAATGTACAGCTTGTCAAATGTAGGAAGAGCTTTCTGAATTCCGTTATGATCCCGCCCACTAGATGTGCGTTTGTTAGAAGACTATGGGAGCGCGCGCGAGAGATAGAGAGAGAGAGAGAAAATAAAATTCTCAAGTCTCTTCCTAGATTTAACAAGCTGTACCTGTCATTGTCGTTTACTGTTTAAATATATGAAAGTATGAGATATCTGATAAATCCATTATGTCACCTTATGGTAAAAAAAGCTTCAGTTCAAAAACTTTTGATTAAAAACAAGAAATTCAAGAATTTATTTTGGTTGTCGTGCAATTCTAATGATGGTCAAACTATCAAAAGTTAGAGAAAATTAAAAACTAATTATTTACAAAATCTAAACATTGGGTATACTACAGAAAAACTAGACATTTTAAGCAACCATCAGAAATGAATTTTATGATAAATCCGACTACCACATTTGTTGAATTCATTCACTGATCCATTTAAAAAAGAGTTGAAACTCTCAGGAAATTTCCAGTGACTTTCAAGACTTGCTCATTCTGAATAAATTTGAATGAGATAAATCTATTTTGCAATTTACTGATTATTCACTAGTTTTACTAATGTTACGTCGCTGGCCCCTAAATGTAACGCCATTGAGCATGGCAATATCAAGATTCTTCAATGAACTAGAAGATATTGAAGAATTAATCATTTGAATCGAGTTTATTTAAAGTGCTATTTCGGAAAACGGACATTTTAGCTCGGATATCGGATCGAAACTCAAAGCACTTTATTACTATTATTACTGCCACATGCACTTACTGCAACGCAGTTATAATTCAAAGGAGTGCCGTCGAAAAAAAACCATCCCGCCTGATGTACACACAAAACGCGACATCAGTATTCAAGAAGGGAATAATTAACAATGGAGACGTATACCGTGAGAGGCCCGCCCACAAAAAAAAAATACGAAAATAAAAAGAACAATTAGCGCTCATTTGTATTCAATCGACGCCAAAATGATTGTTCAAAGTGATCTTTATTAATAATTCATAATAGTATTGTTGAATCGTTAGCATAGTCCACTTTAACCTTGTGCAAGACAAAAGACAATGTGATTCTCATTGTGTCTTTCATATACGAACATTGTTTGAGAGAAATTTTTATAATTGTGTGATTTTTCCGACTCGTTTTCGGTTACGACACTTTTTACGAGTTTTACTTTTGAACAACTAGCGGATAATGGGAAAATAATTTAAATTCGTATTTGATGTTGTTTTCAAACGATTCTTAGAAGGTAATGGAGGGTCGTTAAGCGTTGGGTTTTGCACCGGAATATTAATGATTTCGCTGGTATTCATTCGTGGAATAAAGTTTGTTTCCTCTCTCGACTACCTTTTAAAACTCCCACGGAGCTTCCTACACCATAAACCCAATCAGGTCTTACAGCCGGTGACTGCAGCTTTGTTTTATTCCTATATTCGATTTCAGCGATATGTTTAATAATATCGAAAATTTTCAATTTCGAAATTTATGATTATTTTGGGTTATGACGTTAAATTCTCAGTCGGACAACCTAAATGAAATTGGAGTTTATAGGTATAATTTCATAATTTAAAAGTCGTATTATGAGATTTGTGAACAAATTCTTAATGTGAATACCGAATTTCTATTAAATTAAAGGGCCAAATTTCAAATTAAAGGGCCAAATTTCAAATTAAAGGGCCGAATTTCAAATTAAAGGGTCAAATTTCATGTTAAAGAGTGAAATTTCAAGTTGGAGTGTCAAATTTCATGCTAAATGGCCAAATTTCATGCTAAAGAGCCAAATTTCAAGGGACGAATTTCAAGGGACGAATTTCAAGGGACAAATTTCAAGTTGAAAACTAAATTTTCAAGTTGAACGGCCACAAAGGTACTGTTTTCAAACTCAAGGGCAAATTTAAAATTGAAAGGCCAAATTTAGAAGTTGAAGGTCCATCAGTTGAAAGATCAAACTTCATGTTGAAGATGCAAAGTTCAAGTTTTAAGGCACAATTTCAACTTATTCAGCCAAATTTCACGTTAAAGGGTCTAAATTCACGTTTAAGATGCAAATTTTACTGTTGAGGTCCAAATTTCTATTTTAAGACAAAATTTCAAGTTTAGGGCAAATATTAAGTTTGGTGGCTGACTTTTTGAAGATGAAAAACGGAATTTTTAATTTAAATTCCACATTTAAAAGTTCAGGCGCACTTTCAAAATCGAGCGTTTTTGTTCAATTTTCCTTGACAACTCCTTTAAAAACTACCTTATATTTAAAAAAATTTAAATACTGTATGAAATTTGATATAAATATTGAGTGCACAATTTCAAGGTATTCCAAAAAATCAAATAATAAACGAAATATACCTAGAACGGAAAAGTGCAAATACAAAAAGATGACTTCTCAACATAGAAGAAATAAATAAGTTGGACGATATCTTTCCTTACGAAGATGCCATCGATGGGATCGAGAGAGAACTCAATCCCCAAATATCAAAGATAAACGAAGCTCGCCAAGGCGGTCAGTTGCAAAGCCAAGTTTCGACATCTATCGCCGACTAGATGGGTCCTGTCTTTCACTGCAGATTTCACTGCAAAGCAACTAGTTGTGAACTAGAGCCCAAACACAGACGGTTTCGACCTTCCATAGGTCTCATCAGTGACGCTAATCTGAACCACAAATGCATTGCTGGACTCAACTGTCTTCAAACGACAAGTTAGTAAGGGCAATGACATCTGCCCTCACGAAGACTCGATCTATGAGAACGGCAAAGAACTCAATCCTCGAATATCAAAGATAAATCAGGATCCCCAGAGCGGTCAGTTGCAAAGCCAAGCTTCGATGTCGACCGCCGACGAGATTGGTCCTCTGTCTTTAACTGAAAAAAAAAACATAAAAATATTTTCATTCTAACTCCCTTACAGAGTTTATGCCCTAGAACCAATTTTGAACAATCGGTTCCTGCGCGAAACGCGCGTCGAGACACATCATTTTTCTTGTAGAAAGGGCTTTCAATAGAATATAAATTATATCCAACATTGTCAAAATAAAATTTTAGATTTTCACAGTTTGATGTTTGTCATAATATCAATTGCTGATAATAGCATATTATTTGAAGAGCGAGAAATGTGGTCATACTCGTGAGAATGAAGTTTGATGACGTGAGCCAAAGGCAGGCGCCATAAAGAATTTGAGCGAATAATGACCATTTCTCACGAGTAAAATACTATAAATTTCACTAGTTCAGACTTCCATTGTCTACTATATAAAATGATTTCAAATCCCTAAAACAACTAAAAAAGGAAGAATTGAAAATGAATAGCTGAAAATAACAATTTTATTAACCAAAATAAACCTGAAATAAAATAATAGTGATATCAAATGTTTGTACTGAAATTCTTAACGATCTTGATATTCTTGATGATCTCAATATATTTTTTTCAACCTTATGATTACCATCTAATTCTCAAATTCAATCATGTAATGTAATTTGTTTTAATGAGTATGTCTTCGTATTTTTTTTCTCAATTCATGATCACCATTGATTGTGGAATCTTAAGATGTATATAGCCTGATTTTAATTGCGCCATTGGTTTTGACATGTCTATAAACCTTGTGTTTCTCAAGACGAATAAAGATATTATTATTATTAAAAACTCATGTTACCATGACCCTAGCCAAATTCTAACTCATTTGAGGGGGTTCTGATATATCAAAGAAAAATCCTCTATTACGATGGAAAGTTACTGACCTCAAGGTCGTATGAAGGGTTGCCTATCTTTAGGTTGTGCCGCTCTACACGAAAATTCACAGTTTTGCAGGTGGCACTATTATATTATGGAAAAGCAACAATCCAAGCAAGCTTTGAGAATCAATCTTGAATGATATCAAAATAGTAAAAAGTTGGTGTGATTGAAATCATTCGAAGTTGAATAACACAAAAACTAGTTTGAGATCGTTTAGATGTAAAATTTTTAATTTGAGTCTGCCGAATGGCTCGATCGATTGCTGTACTGATACTATGTTTCAAGGAGTTTGCTTGAGAGAGAGAGAGAGAGAGAAAGAACTTTATTGTCCAAAGAACAGAATTCTTGTTAACAAAGTTTAGAAATACATTTATGTATGTACACATATATCTATATATATACACACACATATACATATGTAACACAAAGGGATCAATTCAAAAATTAAATAAACACCTAAGCTAAGGTTTGAGAAACAAGTTATAGGTCTTAATAAGAAATTAGCTTCAGGTTGTTGAGCAGTGAAAATGGTCAGAACAGAACTGAATACTTACTCTCTAGTAGAGAATTCTATAATTTATAATGGAGAAAACATGTATAATCACCTGCCGAATTATATTGAAGATATCAGCAATAATGGACAAGGCTATAAACGAACTATTATACAACCGACTGCATTATAGCGTAGAAGAGTTTTTCACTGAAAATTCTGAATAGCAAGTTTTTGTGTTACATTCTGACCAAGTATATCTGATTCGACCCCATTACGAATGTTTGGAATACAAACGGAATAGAATGAAGTGTTTTTCGTATAATTCAGCATTCATATAAAAGTATTTAAGTATTTTGAAATTATTTTTCTTTCGTGTAACTCAATGTTTATATGAAAACAGCCGTTTCGAAAGGGCTTTCTCATCCAGTCTGTTTTTGAAAGTTACTTCTTTGCATAATCTACACATTTTTGTTTAGGGTTAATTTTTGAAATTGATTGTTTCCTTCCTTTTTTTTGGAAGACTCCCACATTTTTTGTATCAAGATGGAGAAGTAAAGGCAAAAACTTTCTTTTCCAAATACATCAATAACCTCTTTGACTCTTGTTAATACATCTTCTAGTGTAGACCCAGTGATTGTCATTGTGGAATCATCTGCAAACATAGTTATGTGGCAATTGTCAACGTGTTCTGAAAGATCATTAACAAATACCACAAAGAGTAAAGGTCCCAGTACTGATCCCTGAGGAACTCCTAATGTCACATCATGTTCCTTGAACACGATATTGTTATATTTGACTGTCAAATGCCAACCACTCGTATATGATTTTATCCAAGTCAAAATTTTATGTGGAAACCCAAGCCTCTTTAACTTTATATATAGAAAATCTGGTGAAACAGTGTCAAATTCTATTGACAGATCAAAAAAAATATTAATTACAAAATTATTGGCATCAACTTCGGAATATATGTTATTGAGATAATCATAGGCAGTGGTTTCTATGGAACGATATTTTCTAAATCCATGTTGATTATTACATAGTATATTATTTGACTCTAACTAATTCACTATTCTAGTAGCCACCACTGTTTCATACACTTTCGAAAGAGAAGAAAGTAATGAAATTTGTCGGTATTTATTCAGGTCATTTCTATTTCCTTTTTTAAAAAGAGGAATGACTGAGGCTTTCTTGAACTCTTCTGGAAAGTAGCCTAGCATATAGGATTGATTCATTAGATAAGTTAGGGGAGATACAATAAGGTCAAATATTTCTTAACAACTGGTATTGACAGGTCACCTGATCCAATCAGATTTTTATTTTTCATTAATCTCAATGCAGCATGAATTTCAGCTTCAGTATATGGTCCGTTCTCAATTGAGTGTACAATATTAATATTTGTACTGGTTGCACAAGGTAATGTTAGATTTTGACCAAAGTGTGTGGAAATAGCAATATTAGAAGAATTTGCAAAATGCAGGAGGGTGTTCAGCCACAACTGAGTCATGATGGAGAGTGATAACATTATTAGCATAACACTTTCTTTTTATTCCCAACTCGTTGTTTACTATATTCCACGTTTCTTTAGTTTTGTCACTGGCATTGCCACTTTTAGTGGAAAAGTAACTACTTGATATTTTTTTTGCTTAACGATATTCTTCTGTTGTTTAAGCCTAGATTTGTATACAGCCATATTACTAGGTCAACTTCTTGATCAGTTGTAATTAGTATTGTACTCAGTATATTTACTTCTATATGGAAATAAGTATGTGCATATTGAAAATGTGTCAATATTTTTCTTTGCTCAAGAACAATAACAGGTTGAAATACTTTATACAAAGTATACTGGCCACCTGATCTTCCCATAATTGTTATCCATCAATCTATAAATATATTTTTGTCAATTGAGACCTATTATTATTATTAAGTATAAAAAAGGTTTCCATATGGTTCCAACTTACTGAGGTACACTGTATTTCAATACTAGTCAGCACACATAATCAGAGGAGTAGTTATTTCATAAAAAATATTTTATTAAATCATCTGTGGATGATTTGACATGTTTCCATAACTAACAAGAGACTTTATAAATATATTTGTTTCTTCCCATTTGAAACAATGTACTCGAAATAGAAAAACCACACAAAATATTTCCTCAACACAGTTCTCTCCAAAATAAATAATTTTCCATTGAGTGAATACATCATAAAATTATGAATTTCTAACTTACCACGCACTCCTGTGTGCCGAATTCTGTTGCTGCATCCCCCTGAGCTGCACGCGGACCTCCCCCAAAAAAACATCATCACTTATACCCGGAGTATCATGCCAAATGGACACTTGCAATTCGCAAATTTCAGAGTCTCCTTCGCACATAATATCTTTACCCCCCTCGCTACTGTGAAATGTGAAAACCTCATCGAATTGTGGGGAAGTAGTTTTTTTCCTCACTCTCGTTCGTTTAGAAATACGTTTGCCGTTCGTATAAGTCACACACACCAAAGCATAAGAATCGCAGGAACCGTTCTTCAAGGTGAGGTCCAAGCAGCCAACAACTTTGACGAGGAGTCTCCTGGTAGCGCCGTAACCACACGACGAACTGTTTTTATTCAATTCTGGCTCGAATTTGATCTCGATGTTTGCCTTGCCTTGCACCTCTGAGTCTGCGTCCACGGCTTTTATGGGAAACCAGTGGTCCTTGTTGTTATAAGAGGCTAGTTGTTCGCGTCTTATAGCGACTTTACCAAGCACCTTGTCCTGCTTCAAGTGTCTGTCTCTGTCAAACACGTATATCGACACGAAACGAAAGTTCCTGGGGACTTCGAACTGGAATTCTTCACCGAAGAAGGGACTGAAAAAAACATTGAAAATTATTGTATATCGACAATTATCAGAATATTTTGAAGCAAATCAATTAATAACTGATGTAATCAGTAATTGGTTTGACATAAAATCAATTCTTATGACATGGCTTCACAACTGATAGTTAATATCAAGAGGGAAACAAAAAGTAGATCAGGGCACTTAAGTATGTAGTTGCAGTATTTCTTGATTTAAAGAGTCTTTGAAACCACTGATAGAGAAATATTACTCAAAAAACTACACTATTATGGTATTCATTGTAATGTGTTGAAATAGATCATAGATATGTAAAATACAAAGTGTGTATTCAAATGAACTTAATAATTATGTAGAAGTACCTCAAGGCAGTGTTTTAGAACCTCTTCCATCAATAATTTATTTTAATGGTAAACATTTCGTGTAGTGTTATGATTTTCACAATATATTTGCTAATAATACACTAGTATCATTTTAAGGCAATGATATTAAGGAATCATTAATGATAATAAATGAAGTTTTGAAATAATTCCAGTCATTATTTCTAAGAATGAATGCATGTTAACTGAAAGCAAATAAAACAAAAGCAATGATCTCCAGTATGAAACAAATTAAATGTCGGATATGAGTACTTATCTTATCAAAACTGAAGGTGGAAATTAGTTAATGAATTTCAATATCTCTAGAATGTCATTGTGATTACATATTTAAAAAACTACCAAAAATATGTTTTCTGCTCACGTGTTTGATTACTGTTCTACCTTACTGAATTTATTGGATTTTTCACAGACTTCACAAAAACTACAATGCACACAACTAAATGCCAACTGATTCAATGATGAGAATTTAGAATGGACATAATGTGGCTAATATTTTTTGTCATGACAATAGTGCTCATACATAAAATATTGGAAAACTTGGGCCCTTATTATCTCACTTCATTTAATAATTATATTATTACCTTACTTACCCCACCAGAAAAGAGAATAATTTCCATCTAGTTTGAATGAAATAAAAACTCAATGCAAACATTATTTATCGAGGGATGAACCTCTCAACTGAAGTAAACAATTCTACGTTTTAAACATTTTCAAAATTGATCCAGAGAAATTACTATCAATTGAACACATATGAAAAACTAAATTATGAAAAGCTTTTTACATTCTTACTGTTATTATATTTGTGTTTCAAGTCTTTTAACTATTACTTGTAAATATAATCAGTTTAAATGTATGTATCCCAGGATTATCCTACTTCACAAAATAAAGCATTTGTAAAAAAATATTGACCAGTCCATGTACATCACCTTATAAAAATTCATGAATAGGTTCCTATTATGAATGAATGAATATTTGTTGCATAACATTGATAAAGGAAAGGAGATAGCACAAAGTTTTCTGGACTAATATTTGAATAACACTCTTATCAAACATGGATAGGAAAACATTTATAAATTCAAATTCGTTAACAATGGAACAAACCGAAATTATTTCTAGGAAATCCCTGATGAACAGCTGATGAACAAACTTGTGGTTGAATGAATGACAAATTTGAACAGCCCATTCATTTATTGAAGTCATTTTCAATAGGAGGAAATATTAACAAACGTCAGAATAAAGAATGGAATTGAATCACCGAATCACAAATTTGCATTTTATGAATTACTTGACTGACTCACCTGAAGTTCAATGAAAACTGACAAGTCAAGATACTTCGGAATTTTATCAATTCTACAACAAAACTTTCGATTTCCCATATGAAAATGAATAAGTTTTAAATGAAACACTGTAAATAATTGAAAAGTCACATTTACTTTTTTGTTTACTACTAGTTTATGTTTGCATTGAAACGAGTATATTTTTAGGTGTCTTTTGTAACCTGGAGACACAATATTTCGTCATTTCGTTTTCAAAGACAAACAAAATCTAATTGAGAATTGTGAATTTCAGAGGTTTGCAAATGATGCTACGATATTTGAAACAAAATGAAGGAGGATCCAACAACCACAAAGTAAGAAATGTCAAACAAGAGATAACTGACACTGCAAAATATTCTTGATGTTTTCTTTGACATAAAACTGACTTTCACAACTCTCATGACTGATCCTGTCTCAAAAGCTTTAAAAATATTCAGATCGTAACTAGATCTCATTCATCAATATCTTAATTAATTCTTATAAGATACAGTACTGCCCCTTAGTAATATCTCTGGTGGAGTACGTATTATACAGAATTTTAGAATGATGAGGATACATTTAAGAAGGTTCAATACTGTTTTCTTTAGCATCATGCTCTTGAAATGGGTTTTATAAGAGATGCTTCTGAGTATGATAATGATTGGTTTGAATTGAATCTGGGTATCCTGAAAAACACTGGAAATAAAATGATCTCCATATTCTACGATGACTGCCTAACGATCATGACCCGAATTTATAACAATTTCAATGAAAACCATCAAAAAATTTGCAACTCCAAAATTTCAGAAGTTGATTTTCACGATTCCCCCCAAAAAATTACGGTGAAAATGTGCCAATCCAAGGATTTAGTAGTATTATTATGAGAAAACACATAAATTGTAATTATTTCTTGTGATTTCGTGTTTAAAGGCATGCTAATCCAGGCAGTATTTGAATATCAAAATCATGGAGGTAAAACATCTTATCCTTGTTCAGTACTGATAGGAATGGTGTATTTGTTAGATTTTTAAAGTAATTTCATTCCTTTATTCTGAAATTTCTGCAGAGAAGATATGTAATTGGCTTCAAGTAAAAATACCACAGTAATTAAAGTGAGGTTGTATGTTTTGAAGATTGTAACACATTTTTGAAAGTTAAGATGAAAGTTAACTTTTGAAAAAAAAATGTTTGCAATTTCATTGCTAATATATTGAAATTGTTTTTTAAAATGCAATGTGTTGTCAATTATGAAGTTCAAGTATTTAAAATTAACAGCCTCAATGAAATTCAGTATCATTCTTGATGTTCACTAAATTATTTTCTAATAAACTGTTTGTATCAAGTTGTAACGCATTGAGTTTTCTTCATTTGTCTAAAACGCCAACCTGATTGGTAAAAAGCGCGTCGAGAAGAGTATTTCAGTTCTGGTATTTAGAAAAAGTGCTTGTTTTAGATAGTAAGGTATCATCAGCAAATAGGTTAAGAAATTCACAGTTGTCAATGTATTCAAATAAAAAATGAATATTTAAGGTTCAACCACACTTCACTGGGAAACTTTTATACTAATTATTTGAATCGAAATGGGTATATTTGCTTGTCTGATTTAGTATTGATCTCTTTGATGCATTGTAACCTATTCAGCAAATAGCTAGTGAATCAATCAATACCACAAAATTCTAATTTTTTAAGCAAAATTTGAATTGCCATCATCTATGAAGCTTCTGTGAAAATAATATGATACAAATTTCAGTTTGAATATTTTTCATAGATTCAGGGTTTTGAATGAAAACCCTTCTATTGATTCACTTGAATTCTCATATATAAATTTTAGAAAACTTTGTCAGTGTAAGGATTTCATTTTCAGTGCAACAAATATTGGAAAAAGCCTAAAAAATTCTTTTGAATTGTTCAATCCATCCAAAACTGTTTATAGAGAAATTAATGAATATATTTTCAACCCAAGTCATACCAATAGCCAGGCTGTTGTGATGAACTAAATATAAAATTAGGACTGGCTTGGGCGTGACATGAAGATCGGAAGAAGCTGAGTGCATGGTTACTTCAGATATCTCAAGCTCTATATACTTATTGGCACTGAATAACCTGCAATGTGAGTACCAAAATCTATGTTAGGTGACCCAAATAGAAAATGGGCCAATAAGAAAGATAAACAGTACCAGGAAAATACACCTGGAAACCAGAGGAAGATGAGAGAAAAAACTCAATAAGCTCAAGAGGCTGCAATGTTTTCCGAAAACTTACATGAAATGGGCAAGTCAAATAACTTCTAAGTAGCTAAAACAGTGTGTCAAGTTTAGATATAAAACTTTTTCATTTACTAAATTGTACAGTTTTCCATTAATTTTTCTCATTCGATTTGTATGAATGTTTGGTGTATAAATTGAGAAAAGAAAAATTAGTTATTCTAAGTAATTTAAAATTTTTAGGGAAAAGAAGTTGTTTCAGATGGATTATTTCTTCCAGTTCATGTCTTGAGAAAAATATGTATCTGATCTACAATTCATCCCAGAGGTTTGGATATACCTAATTCTTTGAAAGTTTACTATTTTTTATACATTTTGAGACTTGCAAGTCAAACGTTTCTTCAAACCAGTATTCACTAAAAAATCATTTTCTGACAAATCATTAATATCTTTTGCAATCCCAGCCTGATGAATCAAACTGTTACCTCAAGGTTTGCAGAACTGTTGATGTTCTAAATATCTCTTCTTGGTCCAGTGACAGCGTGCAATAAACATCTCTCTGTGTCGACGATCCATGCAACCGAGCCTGCAGATTCTTCGCTTCCCCTAGAAATAAACACAAAAAATCAGAAAACTCATAAATAGGGCAAGATCGGGCTGGGATTTAAATCCATCACACCACCTGCAGTGAAGCAGATTTTTCCCCACCCTGACTTAAACAGCCGAAACCCGATGACATATTCAAATTAAAGAACCGAAAAGCGAGCATTTGAATGGACGGAAGCTTCAAAATTTACTTACCAATTTTTATTTTTAAACGTTCCTCCAATCTGACTTTAAAATGCTCGTCCGCCATGTTTAACTCCTCCGAAAAAAATGAATGAAACTGTTTTGACATAAGTCTACGACGAGTGGTCTCAAGTGTTGGATATGAAAAACCAAATGGTTTCCTGTCGAGTCATAGTCATCGTTCGCAAATAAGAGCACACATGGGTGTTTTTGTTTGATGTCTAATAACTCAGGTTAGTCACATCATGATCGTATGAAGATTTATGAATGAACGAAATTCAAGGCTACAGCTACAATGCGTAAACGGCGCGGAGCTACAACACTGCATTCTCTCTCGCACTCATTTCTCTTGCGTTTGTTCGGGAATCGGGCGAACGGATATCGCGGTAAAATGAATGAGCTTCTTATCTCCAACGCTGCCGAGTCAATTTTTATTTCTTCAGTATATTTACAAAAATTAGGTCTGAATACTCTGTATACTATATTGTATCGAACTGAAAACACTTGTAAAAAAACTCATTAATAAAGTTTATTGTATGATTTTCACTATAAAGGGTTTTACAAAAACCGGCGGTTTTTGCAAAACCCTTTATAGTGAAAATCATACAATAAACTGTATTAATGACTTTAAATATGGATTTCCATCAAGTATCGGCCAGTCGCTACATTCAGACTCAAAATACATGTGAAATGTAGGTAATACTTGAAAAATGTCAAAATGTAAATGTTAAAGCAACTTTCAACAATAATATTGTAATAATATATATATTCATGCGTCAAAAAATCTCCTAATAAATAGGGCTCAAAATCACACAAAACAAACAAACATCACAGAAGCTTATATATACAGATGGAATATATGTTAAGTAATTCATTACTTTTAAATATATTTCGGCACGAATCTGTGAATTTCATATTCAACATAGTTTTAACAATATATTGTTGATACATAAATGTTCTTTCGAGGTGGCTAGTTCGTCTCAACACTATTTTTTTCATGCTCTAGAAAGAGATATATCTATTGTACCATAATATCTGTTTTGAGATCAACTCCGATAGCATAGCATTTACTTGCCAGTTTTTAGCTAAATAATCTATATGTATCTGATAGTTCAAATTTTCATATATAAATATGCCTAGCCTTTCAACACTAGATGAAAAATATAATTTTTCAGTACTGAGTGCAACGTATTTTTGAATATAAAAATTTGTATTATATGACTTGAATCTAATAGAATTTGCTTCAGAGATTGAACGGTTTTCATTAAAATTATGTGAAAACAGTGATTATATTGGAGAAGAGTGGTTTTGGCTTATTACTTCTCATCTTTATACAAAATAAAAATTGGGAGAAGTAGGAAACCAAAACATTTCCTTCCTTGAAATGAAATCTCCCAAAAATGTATCCTTTTTTATTTAGTGATCATGTATATTACTGTGAATTATTCTTTCCGAAGTGAGATTGGTATTAATTGATACAATGACGTTAGAATCATCTGTACGATCTTAGTGTTTGATACTACAAATATTTCTCTCAAATCATTAACATAGGTTATGAAGAAGTAGAGCATCATGTAGAACTAGAACTTGTAGCACTCTCTTGTAGAACACCTTTTTTGAATTCAAGTAAAATGGTGAACTGTTCATTTGTGATTTCTAAACTGAATTTTCCAAAGGAAAGAATATTAGAAAAGAATACTAGAGCAGATCACCTTGTAGAACTAGAACTTGTAGCACTCTCTTGTAGAACACCTTTTTTGAATTCAAGTAAAATGGTGAACTGTTCATTTGTGATTTCTAAACTGAATTTTTGGTTCTTCCGGCTCTTTTAATTCTTTCAAGAATGATGGTATTTTATAACAAGTCACTGTTTTCTTTTAAAGTAACGGTTTTCAATTTTTCACTATGATTGTTTTTGTTTTTCCTTTTCCTTAATTACTTTGGACCCATTATAGTCTCGATTGTAAGAAGATCTGAGAGAAAACAAAGTAATACATATAGAAATAGCTTTCATCTTGATGCCTTGACACGGAACGATTTTCTCGTTTTCTTTCACGACAAAAATGTCCTTGAAATGAGGTAATTTTGTGTCGCATCTCAGTGGTTTATCCCGGTATGGAGAAAGTCATTAAATATGCTTATGTGGAGAAGTGGAAACGAAGAGAGGAAATTCAACTAGGCTGCATTTCAAACTTTGTGACCAATCGACGAGAGAAAACAATGTATAGTTTCACGGACAGGAGGATGTTAAAAACTTTTTTCACATGAATTAATTTTGTTCTATTTACTTGATAGACGTTGTTTTAAAAAAGAAATATACAAGTGTAATATTCTTATAGTTATTATTTTTTGTTACTTTGTAGTTGAAATAATTTATTTATTTAGCAATTAGATTATATTGCTATATTTTCTTATAGATTATATCTATACTTCTGTACTAATATTATAAATGTGAAAGTTTGTGAGGATGGATGTATGTATGTTTGTGTCTCTTTCACGCCTAAACGACTGAATGGATTTAGATGAAACTTTACATAAATACAGCTGTCCGTGTTCTGCCCTGTACGTTAATATAAGAGTGTCAGTCAATCAATAGGTACCCACTTATACAATACTAGCTTTCCCCGCTGTTTTTCCGGGTTACCGTGGGAACCTACCCTATGTATTATTCCAGGTCATGATCTATCTATATACCAACTTACATTTGAATCCATTGAGCTGTTTAGATATAAAACAGTGAAAAATGTAAATTGATATGTAACATTCATTCATCCTCACAAACTTTATGCATTTATATTACTAGCAGTAGAATTATTACTATTACCAATATATTTCATTCTAATCCTTTCAGTATTTTTTTGCTGATGCTATTCAATATTGTGTGGGTACCTATATTGATTGACTGACACTCTTATATTAACGTATGTCAGTTTTGAAGTCGGAAACCTGAAGTTTTGGGTTGACAAAAAAATATTGTAACTATTTGTTTAAAATGGTCTGTCACTAAAATTAATGTGATAAACCAAACTCGACACGGGCGAAGCCGCGGGCAACAACTAGTCAGTAATTATATTAATTCACCATCAATGATGATGCTTGGTTTTATTTTTGACATAATTTTCAGAGTAGATGTACTGAAAAATCGAAAGACATGGCCACACTGTTTACCTCTCTATCGCGGTGTCAAACCAACGAACAAACAGCCCCCTCTCACGTCGCTCAGCCTTTCACCCGTAAGATGTGATGAGGATGTTGATTTACAAGAAATATGGACCTAATTGAATAGGGGGTTTAGAACTACTTGACGTATCGACTTGTCTTTTAATGTGAAAGCTATTCGTTTGGTAATTATGAACGAAAAAATTCCCATATTCTGAATGATAGTCATTAAATTTATGAATTTCACACGCTATTGGTTTTGTCAATAGAGAAATTGTAGCAGTTTATCTGCGTAAATGAGAACATTTAAATCATTACTCTCTTTATCAGGCTGTATCAATATTTACTATGGATGTTTTTGATATTGCTGGCTTTAAAAATAGCACTTCAACTTCCGGTGTAGATTTTCATTACATATTTTTTTTTACTTGTTTCTTCTTTCTCTTGAGTATTTGTTTTATTTTACAAGTAGTTCTCAGTTCATTGAACAAATCAGTGACGGAGATGTAAGTTTATTGGAATAAGGGTGCCTAATAACGATTGTCAGAAAAAAATAAATCTTCAGTCATCAGTTTCTAAAAGTGACGTAGTACCTGAAAATCTTCATTATTATTTTTTATTCAGTCGTAGAAAAGTTTCCTTGTTAAATTATCATTTAGTAGATTTTTAAATAGTAGGTAGGTATTGGTAGGTTCAATCTGACAAACAAATGATAATGACATTGATAATGATAGTCATATGGGAGAAAGCGTATTTGTTACTTTGAGAAAAAAACGTTCTGTATCAATTTCCCACAAATGAATACCTACTAGTAAAATATAGGTTTTACCATTTTCTAGTTCTAAAGTATTGTTAAATCAGAATATGAAAAAGCTATTGGTATTAAATCTTTAGACAATGGTTCAGCAATCTGCATAAAGACTTGATTAAATTCATAATTAGATTAATAAATTTTGTCTGATAAAGTATGTGGCGACATCTAGGTTGTAATAGTGAAACAATAACTCACAACAAGAACTTTCACATAACAGGAAAAAGTGAAACTTGAATTCAAATATTCCACAACGGGTAGAGTTATTCGTCAAAAATTGTAGCTTTGTATATAGACTACAAAAATGTAGATCAATACCATAGTAGAAAGCTATATGTATGTAAAATATTTTGCAATAAACTTTCGACCAATGGCACTCTTCATAAAGAAATTATAGATAGAGCCAATAAATTTCAGCATTTAATTCACAGAGGTGCTAAGTACAACTCAAGTGATGCAGCTTGACAATGTCAAATTGGCAGTTGAATTTTTAATGTTGTTTACAATTTGAGAATTGACTGATATTGGGTAATTTTTTTTTACATTATGGTACATAAATTAAAGATCTGCAAGAAATACGCGCGCCAGATTTCGATTTTCTCACCATCTATCAACACCAGTACAAATTTGGGTCAATTTAATTTCTCGTGTAGTTTTGTCAAAACAAAATAAAAACCAGAGTTTCCATGCATCTTTGTAGACATTAATGTTAGAATTTGATATTGACATAGTTATATGAGGGAAAATATAAAATTATTCCTTTTTTGATAAAACGGTTCCATAACAATTTTCCAAAGGAAAGAATATTAGAAAAGAATACTAGATAATTTCATTGTAAAATTTGTTTTTTCAGCTAATCTTTTTAATTTTTTTACAAATTCTTTCAGGGATTACATATCAATTTATATATTAGACAATGGAAGACCGAACTGATGAAATGCACTACGAAACATGGTCAAACACCTTCAAACAATCAGTTTTTAAACATGGAAATAATTAGTAAAAAAATAGCGAACAGTTTAATGGTACATATTGTTTCCATGGACAATGGACATTTTTTCAATAATTACGGTTACTGTAACAATGAAAATCTGAACTTTTCTGCAGAACTAATAATTTTGAGTAATAAATATCAGTGTTCTTTCAAAAGATAAGAATTCATCCTGTAATTGAGAAATATTTTTAGAAACTTAACCACATTTTCTCTAGATATACCTACATTGATGAAAAAAAGCACGGGTTGTATGTAAGAATTTATTGAAAAAAAAATACAAAATTTACTGGGCATAAATAATAATTTAGTATCTAAAATCTAAAACTAATCAGACTTCTAAAGTGAATGAAGCCCAGAAGGGAATGATAAGAAGATTGAAGTAGCAATACAGGTTTTTTAACAACATATTTAGGGTTCACTGTTTTTTTCAGTCTTCTTTTCTCCAATGCTTTTTGCTGGCTGTCCAGTCTGCTGAATAGGTATCTCCTTATGCTCGATCTCCTGGTTCTTGGTGGGAGCAGTGATGGTCAAAACCCCATCAGAGGAAAGTTTAGACTGGAGCTGACTAGGGTCGCAATTTTTCGGCAGAACGTACCTTCTTACAAAATGCCTGGAAATGAAACCGTGGTCGTCCTGCTTCTCCTCGTGCTTCCCTTCGATAGTAATGGTGTTCTCATCCGTCAATTTGACAGTTATCTCTTCGGGCTTGAACTGTTGCACGTCCAAGTTGGCCTGGAATCGGTCTTTGTCCAAACTTACAGTGGAACCGGTGTCCTGTCTTGATAACTCCGTTCTCCAGGGTCTCATATAGCCGGCAGGGCACCTGGCAACCATTCTTGGTACGGTGAGGGCCTCCAAAAAGTCGTCCGGCGACAGCCCCAGGCCGAAATGTTGGTCCAAGAGTCGACTAGGACGATAAGTTGGACGTTGATAGTAGTAATCGTCGAAAAATGGATAGAGAGACATGTTGAAAACTCTTTACAAATCGATATCGTTTATACGAATTTGCAGTCTCTTTCGCAGTCAAAGCAAAAAATTGAACTACCGGCTTTCGGCTGTCTGTTTCAATTTATATGACACAGGACGATAACTAGATTATTCTGGATTTCTCAATCGTCTAGAGGGCAGGCGCAATCACACAAACACAAAGTTCCGGTTATTTCGCATGCCAATCATAATCGCGGTTGCCAAATTTTTCAGTAACTCAAAACCAAATATGAATATTGGGATAACTAATAATAGGGAACACGCATATATTATATCTGTTATTCAATTTGAAAATATTTTATTTTCAGTATGTACATTCACCAAATATTACTTAAAATTTTTTATAATATGAAACTGTTGCTGGTTCATACACCAAGCTTTTACTTTTAGTAAGTTGTCACAGTAAATCATACACCACACTTTAAATATTTCACAACTAATGGCAGCTATGGTTATCGCCCTATGGCATCACTTTATCCATGTTGAATAAATCATAAGAAGTTGAGGTAGATACATATAATGAAACTTGTTTGTCAAAATTTTTTGTGAGTGAATATTAATGGTTATATGAAGGTAGAGGATTACTTGATTTTGGCTCATTTTACACGACAGTTAATTGAGACAATAAACCTAATTCATACCCTCAACCTAGTGGTCGAAATATTCCAATATTCGACGGCTAATTCACTTCAAATTCTGTCCTCATACTAGTAAATATGAGGTGAATATAACGTAAACATTTTTTTAAGGACAAAACACAAGCACTACAGGAAAATCCTTAAGGCACTCTTAGAGCGGTGCCTGTGTGAAAATAGTACTTCGCATTGGAAAAATGTTCTCAGGAAGTTTATTGCACATAAACGCCGTTTTACAAATGAAAAAGTTCTTAAACAGTGAAGTTCGAGGTGTACTGAGTTTAACCTTCTTATGGAAAGATCGAGGCCTAATCGAAGATCAAACTAACGCAATCCTAACTGAGAATGTTAGTCAGGACACACGTTTCGGCAACCAAGTTAGCGTTGGAGAACGGTTTTCTTCATCTCCTCGGTTGGTTGAATGCGTGTTGAAAAAAGTATTGAGTTCTGGTGATTGGGAAAAGTGCTTGTTTCTGGATGTTCTTAACGAGGAGTTTTACCTTTAATCAGGAAATAGAAGTTCAAAGTATTTTTCTGTTGTTTTGGAAACAAGTTTTTTAGGTTTCCACTTATCCATCATTGAACAAACATTGTGAGAAACTTCCGGAGGAAGGAAGAAAGAAAATAACTATAATAAAAACTATTCATGAAGATTATGTAGCACCGTTTATGTTGAGATTTTTAAAGTCAATGAAGTAACTTTAAAATTCTCAGTTTTTGATAGGCAAAATTTCTGAAAAACTTTACATTTTTCTTTGACAAAATTATATTGGGTTTTGATAATAACTCATCAGGATGAAATCGAAGGTTGCCCTCTCTACACCTGCCTAATATTCTCCGTTCCATTTTTTGAATTTTTTCAGATTGTAGAAAGTGATAAGTTCAATATCTGTATAATTTACCTTAGATGTAAGATCCATGTGTGCTTACTATAATTAAAAAGTATTTATCCCCTTCAAAAAAAACCTTTTGCCTTCTGAATCTTCTCCTGGAAAACAATTCACTCCAAACAGATACTTTCGAAAATTGTATTACACAAAAATCTTTCTCATTGAGTTTATAAGAAGTATGAAGCCAAAAGTTTTTGCCTGTGAAAGAAAGTCGCGAAGTTTTTGCAAGAAATGAGTTTAAAAAATCTGTTTTCTGTTTAAAATCTGTTTTTTCCGTTAATCAGCTGTCGCCCCCATACGAACGACAACTCTCAGAAGTTGAGAAACTTGTGCGAGCTAAGGACTAACGAGGTTTTACCTTTTAACGTGTGATTCCTAACACGTTTGAATTGTCTTTTGAAGTTATTGAAAAAGATGCTGGTGAGGCGTTGAAAATACTACTATTTTTCTCGACATTTCGAGAAAAACGGCCATATATAACGTTGGGTGCATCTGTTTCTATTCCATTACTAATATTTGGAACTGAAATTGAATGAGAAAAATATCCCTGTGTAGATCAGTGTTCATATTAAAAGTATTAGTTGTTTCGACTGGATTCTTTTCTTCGTTTGTACCTACCGATCTGTGATAAATTTCTGTGAATAATCTGTTCAAGTTTCTATTGATATATTTAATATTTTCCTTCCTCTCTTCGAAAGTTTTTCTCTTTTTATATAGTAGCAGAGAAGTAGAAAGCCAAAAAATCATAAAATTTAAAAAAATCCTTTTAAATTTAACGAAAAGGAAATTTTCAGCAATTTTGCATCGTAAATATTGGAAAGTATTACTTTCAAATGATCATATTTGGAATAAGTTGGCTGGTAAAACAGTTAATAATTAACTCAATATTTACCTGAAATGATTTTCTAATCATTAGTATAATAGAATGATTATTGTTTATAACCTTCTGGAAAAATTGAATTTGGCATCGTCGCAGGAGTAAATTCTAGAGCAATTACTTCGACTCCGCCAATCAGAGGCCAGATTTCTCTAGAAGTTTCCGACCAATCGGTGCTGGTTGTACGAAAACATCGAGAATTTTCGAGGCTTTTGTTGTCTGATAATATATAAACAAATCTTTCAGATTTGACGTTAACAGTTGAATACTAAAGCCGTGTTAGTGTATTTCGCATATCAATCAAAAGTTGTTTGCCTAGTAAATTAGTGTCATTGAAGATGTCTTTACTAGCCTTTTTTGACGATTACCAACGCCCCAGCAGGCTGCCAGACCAACATTTCGGTCTGGGGCTGTCGCCAGAAGACTTTTTGGAGGCCCTCACCGACCCAAGAATGGTTGTCAGGTGCCCTGCCGGGTACATGAGACCCTGGAGGACGGAATTATCAAGACAGGACACCGGTTCCACCGTAAGTTTGGACAAGGATCGATTCCAGGCCAACTTAGACGTGCAACAGTTCAAACCAGAGGAGATAACTGTCAAATTGACAGATGATAACACCGTTACTATCGAAGGAAAACATGAGGAGAAACAGGATGAGCATGGTTTCATTTCCAGGCATTTTGTAAGAAGGTACGTTCTGCCGAAAAATTGCGATCCTAGTCAGCTCCAGTCGAAACTTTCATCTGATGGAGTTTTGACCATCACTGCTCCAACCAAGAACCAGCAGATCGAGCACAAGGAGATACCCATCCAACAGACTGGACAGCCCGCGAAGAGAATTGAGAAGAAAGCGGAAAACACTGATAAACAATGAGAAAGTATCAAGTATTTGTAGACATTATGTCTCTTTGTGTTATTTAAGGTGGCTTGTAGGTGCAAAGCCTTGTCTCAATGTATTTATTTTTAGTTAATATTTCACAAGTCTGAATAGTTAATGTGTTATCACTTTTGTACCAACATTTTGTGTTAATAAATATTTTAGAAAAATCTAATTATTAGTTGTGAAAGTTATAATTTGATACATAATACAGCTTTGTTTTCTAAAAAAATATGTTTTTCAACATGAAGAAAAGAGAATTGAAACTTTCTATGTTTTTAACCACAGTTTCATCCTGTGAGGACATTTTCAAACTCCTACATTAAACTATAAGTTTGAAAATGTCCTTATGGGACAAAACTGCAGTAACGTCATTTACAAATAAAATGGTAAAAAACATAGAAAGTTTCAATTCTCTTTTTTTCATTATGATTTCCTACCATGTTGTAACGGCTACATCTAACAATTTATTGTTTTTCAACATATTAATGCTATGAATATTTGACGATGCCAACTTTGTTAGGAGAAAACTGCTGAAAATGCTCATATATTGGAAGGAAACTTCTAAAGGCAGGTAAACCATAATATGTTCAACAATTATTTCTCGACTTGATAGTTATTGAACACTGCACAAATTTATTGTCAAAATAGAATCTTTTCTGTCATAAAAATGTTTGGTACTATGGGAACTGTCAGTATGGTGAAAGGATTGTTTCCAACACAGATACCTATCCTAAAAGAATTTGACTACATTTTCTAAAAAAAAACATATTTTACCCAAAATGATAGGTGCAGTTATAGACAAAAAGAAATTCATTCAAGTGGAATTTTACTTATGATACACTATATCGATATACCCAATTTTACAATATCTATTGAAAAAGTTTTCAATAGATAAGTTAAACAGTGGTCCTAATGGCATTCCCAGCTACTTTCTAAAAAATAGTGTCCATATCCAATATACCTTTTCAAATGTTCTTTAGATACAGGGATTGTCCCTGATCTATGGAAACAGCTACATTTGTCCAATTTTTGAACCAGGAAATGAAGAAGACGTAAAGAACTACCATGAAATATGTAAAACCAGGCTTCCCTACCTGAAATTTCATTGTAAAAAATGCTGCATAAATAATCAACATGGTGTCTCTATGAGAAAGTCTACAGATACCAATCTATTGGTATAAATATTATAGAGGTTCTGGAGAAAAACAGCCAGATGGATGCACTCTTATACATGGCATATCGATTAAGATGTTTTTATCATGGTTTGAGAGCTTTTTGACTGGCCGATCTCAGTAAGATTGGGTAGGAAATGCTAGGTAAATAATCATTAATATAAAGCCGGGAGTACCTCAAGGATCTCATTGTGCACCTTTTCTCTGTTCAACATCTTTGATAATGACATTACAGAATGTTCTATAAATTCAAACTTTCCAATGTTTGCAGATGATCTTAAAAATTTCAGGCCAAAAAAATCATTAGACGATGTTACTCTGTTACATGATTTTAATACCTTGGTTAGGTGGTGTATTGAAAACAATTTACCAATGAACATCAAAAAATGTAGTTTCATCATCTTTTACAAAATGAATAGAAAATTTCTCACCTCATACTGCCTGAATGGTAATATACTAACACACAATGAAGGATCTAGAAGTTATATTTGACTAGCAATAGAGATTTGTAGATCATATAAATCTTATTGCTGTTGATACATCAAAGCTACTAGACTTTATATTAAGAAACTGAAAACTATTATCAATCAATTCAGTCAGAACTGTGTATCTTGCCTTGATAGTCTCCCGCTTAGAATATGCCACGATTATTTGGTTAACTTTTTGTACAAATCATTATTATTGGAAAGAGTCCAATATAAATTCCAGACATTCTGTAATAATAAAATTAATATGCACATTGACAATCATGATTATACAGTTCTTTTGAACAGTGTTAACCTATACTTGAGCAGAAAAATGCTGACGTTATATTTATATACAAATAGATAAATGGCCTTATCACATTCCCGGAACTTCTCGAGAGGATTCACTTACATGTGCCGAAGGGAACTCTCAGAATTCTATCAAGATTCAAATGTCTTCTGAGAAAATTAATTATACACCAAATTCTTAATGTATTCAATTATTACTTATATGTATTCTTTATCTTTATATTACTCTCGCCATTTATCTCTGTATTTTAAATTGTATAATCTATAATTTTGTTAATCTTAGTGCTTCAACTCATTTTCAGTGCTTGAGTTTACTTCGAGTCTTACATTTTTATTATTTTCTTCGATTATATTTGATGCTGATGTTTGTACTAATATAAAAGGGGTGATCCCGTGCAATAAATAAATAAAATATTCGATTTTTCTTCAGGCAGGTTGGAAGTATTTCTCTAAACTATAGACTCGCTGATCTGCATTCACTCTGTAAACTGTAAAAATGCATTTATTATTTTGTGAACATGTGAAACAATAAAAACCCTTTACTTTATCTCACTTTCTCATTTATTCATCATCAAACACTGTCCTTCAATTAACAGGAATCTACAATCCAATAACCCAAGTGCTTCATTAAATAATATCAAAAACACAAAATATGAAAAACATCTTCATTATCTTAAAAACGCAGGGGTTTCAATACCCCCAATCTTCTGCTGGATAATCTTGCCATAACCACCTCTTCCAGAGTCAAAGTCTGTCCTATATTCATCTCTTACCTGAAAAATGAATAGAGCAAAAATAATATCCAATGAGCATTCACTTCACAGAAGCAAGAATCATGAGCAAAATTTCCCATATGGAAAACCTTACACAAGAAAATTTACTTTCCAGATGGACATGTTTAATTCCATAAACTTTTGGAGGTCTTATTTCTATCAAAGAGTCTACCCCTACATAAGAAGGGTTCACAAAATGATTGTGATAATTTTAGGCCAATAAGTATTATTAATGCTTGAAAAGCCTTTACAAAAAGGATGGTAGGTTATTTTGAAGACTGGAATTAATTAAAACTTAAATTGAAAAAAGGAGTATTTTTAGATTAGTTTTCGGGGAAAAAAAAGGTTTTTGGTTTTCAACTGTTCATTTTGAATGATGGAGAAATAGAAAGCAGAAACTCTCCTTCTTTACCAGAAAGTTAACTGACATTTGCCAATATGGATTCAGGAAATTATATTCTACAACACTTGCAACCTCCACCACCTGCAGTCCCAAATACAATTTTTATGCTATTTGCTGATTATATCAGTATATGTAAACATAGTGATAAATTCAACCTCCATGAATGCATTCAAGATGGCAGTCAAAATTTCTTGATTGGTTTATTTGCAACCACCTCTGTGTGAAAAGAGATAGAACTAATATATTTCAGTCTGTTGAATAAAATCAAAATTCTACTGTAAAGTTTTCGGGAATACTCGTGTATGTAGATCCCAATTTTCATTGGCAATATCTTACTCACTGCCTAACCAAAAAAAATAACATCTAATTTCAAGTTGAAACATTTGTCTATCATATATTTAAGAATTGGATAATTGGCGGTTAGATTATTTTTTGGTTGAAAAGACGGTCTTGATTTAAGAAAAACACAAAAACTTGTGAAATATCTTGCACCAATGTTCTATGAATTGATAGAATACATCCAAGAGCATAGTTTACATGAGTTAAAAATTAAATTTCTTTTGTACCTGCCCACCCGTTTTTCCTCTACCATATTGTCGTCCCTCTATGAAACCAGCATCCCAGTCAGTTCGTACTATTCTATCGTCCAGACGGGTGCCATTAATATACCTATAAATAAGAAATAAGCAGTCAATATTTTGGTACATAGTATAATGATAATAATGTCTTTATACACCATAACAGAGTACTTTGGAAAGACAAGAACTACTTCCACTTTTAGGGTCAGATAAGTGACCACGTAAATACTTATGCGCGTCTTTATTTTTTTGAAGTTGGTAATTGTGTAAGAACAAAACTCATCAGTATTTAATTATAATATTTGGGTGCATTATACAAGAAACAGCCAGTAAAAGTAAAAGATTTATTTATGTTAAGGGATGACTAAATGAACTGTTCCGTGTACTGAAACTATTAATTGTGGAGAATGTTTTAAACTTTTTCAGTGAATAATTAGGCTGATGAGAAATCAAGATTCTGTGAGTGTTAGTGAGTAGGATTTAATGGAGGAATGAGAAAATTAACTGATACTGATTTACCTTAAGCAGTTCTCTGCATCAATTCGAGTATAATACTCTACAAAGCAAAAACCACATGGAGTTTTTTTGTACTTATCCAAACCCATCACTATCCGTCTTATATCCCCACATTTCGAGAATAGTTCATAAATTTGTTCCTCAGTTGTATAAAAAGAAAGATTTCCTACATACAAAGTAGAAGTAACTCTCAATAGTTTGTCTTGCTCAGCTCTAGTACCCTGGAAATAAAAAATAACTGCTTTAAATTGGTCATTACATAAATAACTAAGATATTACTTTGAAATGTTGGTCACGATAAGAACTGAGATCCACCGAAGGAGTAGTGATCATGGCCATCGTAAAGTTTGTTTACTGCATTCAATTTCAACAAAATTCACAAGAAACCATATAAGACCCACAAAAAAACATCATAGTAAAGCAAACATTGACAGCGGCACCGCAAACATTGACAGTATCACGTCCATGGTTCTTCTTCGATTTCCATTAATGGCTTCAGCTGCCAGAGTTATCCAGCCAGGAGTTCCAGAATCATGTTGCTACTAAAGGTGAAGCCCACACTGAAGTGGATCTGAGTCGGACCAAAACCCCAAACTCCACCTGGGTACGTCCATGATGTTCCGCAAACATTGACAGCAAAGACCACAACAACTAACGATAGCGACACCATTCTTCTTCTTCTTCAATTTGTATGGTAGTTGCTTTCTTAGTCATGTGTATTTGGTGCGTCTCCTTATACGTTACGTAATAGGAACTTCGTGGCTATAATGTAATTGAAGACTTCGTCCTGAGAGTATAAGAGTCTTGTTTCATATAATATTGTACATTGTACTCCATCTCTTAATTTTTTTTTTATATTACTTCATTTTTTCTCTTCCGTCTTCTTTCTATTCAATTTTATTTTTCTTATGTGCTGAATGCTAGGGCAGAGGGTTAAGACTTTTCTCGTTTCAGGGAAGCCGTGAAACAGTTCACAACCGGAAATACTGCCTTGATTAAGAATAAACCAGGATGGATGATCTTTTAGCGTATTACACTGGTAAAAGTAATGTACATTCAATGTAATCTCATTATTTATTGAGGATACACTACAAAAACACACTTTTGTCTATTTTCCACTATATTTCTTTATTGTTGACCGGTTTCGGCTATTATACCATTTTCAAAACTGCCGAAACCGGTCAACAATAAAGAAATATAGTGGAAAGTAGATAAAAGTGTGTTTTTGTAGTGTATCCTCAGTGAACATGAATTTCCACAAAATAAACAAGTCGTCAATCGAAGAAGTCATTATTTATTGATGTATTGATAAATAAGACACAGAGTACACCGAATGTGTAGCAATGGAAAACGCTATTGGATAAGAAATTTCACAACGTAGTTTTATTATTTATTGCATTTACTTTTTGTAGTGTTAATACTGATTCAGTTAATGAACAATTTTAATTTATCTTCTATGGAGTATTTACGCCAACAATACTTCCATCACTGGTATTTTGAGATAATTTTTATTGAAATGACATAGGTAATATTTTGTTGGAATTTCAATACAAAATACCACTTCAATTCGTTATTTCCTTAGAGGTTTTCACCGCCACCTAGCGGCAATTGTTCCGTGAATTAAAACCGAAAAGTCAAAATTATAGAAGAATCCTGCCTGTACTTTGATCATAAAATTTGAACTTTCTTTTTTTTCCTTCTTTCGTTGTGTGAAGTCGTCAAGTGACTCACGCAAGTGACGCAAGGCAAGGTCAGTCGAACATTGGCTCTTGTTTTAGGTGGCAGTAGGGGCTCAGCTGGACCAAAACTCTTTGGCTGGACTGTCTATTTGACAGTTTCTATTTCAACTAACCATGAAAATTTGGACAAGTGAACACATATTCAAGTAAATACTTATCGCCTTTTCTTCAAATTGTCTCTAATTTTTCCATTGTTTTAGTCACCCCTGGGAGACGGTGGCCACAGCAGCCTGGAGGAAATATCCCAACCCTCACAATACTGCAGTTATCGGAACGGACGTTGTAGAAAGAAGGGTTGTGGACGGGGTGTTACACACTCATAGACTGGTCAGCTCGATTTGGTATTTCCCTAGATGGGCGCAAGCTGTAAGTACCCTTGATGCTTGATGTAATGAAGGAAAAATTACGTCATTGTTATTAAATAATAGATAAAATTTGCTATTCTAAACTTTCGAATTGGACGTCATCTATTACATGTGTCGAACTTGGCCTCCCTCCAGTTTTTCCATGTGATAGGTGATAGATTAAATTCAAGTTCAAATTTCTCATGAACCTTGGAGTGTTGTGTTTTTTTATTATTGGGTTGTGATAATTAACAATGATCTTCAGTAAAAGGACAAAGCAATTAATAGAAAAATATTGTGGGTGTTGGGGGTTTTATCAATTATGACTGACCTTGAGAGATATCAGTTGAAAGGGTAAAATTTTTCTTGTGATATTAACATTATTATAGGTTGGCCAATTATGAAGCATAAATTTCACTTTCATCAATATTGAAATGCCCATTTTTTCATTCAGAGATGGATTCCATATTATTTACATATAATAAAAAAGTATAGGGCCCAACACTGATCCCTGTGTGACACCTACATTAATATCCACATAATTGTATGTATATAATTTTCTTACATTATTATTATCATTGATGATACTGATATATTGCTTCCGTGTTGAGACAAACATTTTTAGCCAGTTAAGTGAATTTCATTGTACGCCAATATTATGGAGTTTTATATAAAGATTTTCGTGATCAACACAGTCGAGTGCCTTACTGAGGTCACAGAAGACCCCGATAGAGCACTCGCCCTGCTAATTGAATTCAAGACGTTAGAATATAAAGAATAAATCACATCAGTTGATGACTTTGAATTCTGAAAACCATATTGGTTTTTGGATATAATGTTGTTCTCATTCAAATAAACGTTCAGTCTGTTCAAATATGCATATTCAAAGATCTTAGAGAAAACAGATGGCACTGTGATCGGTTGAAAATTTGTCATGTTATATGGATTGCCTTTTTTATATATAATAATGACTTTACCCGTTTTAAGGAGATTCGGAAAAATTCCTGTACAGTATGAAATATTTATCAGATATGTTATAGGTGAGATCATAGAGCCTAAAATTTTTCTTAATAGAAACCCTGGAACTTCATCAAATCCAGATGAGTAGGTGTTTTTTATGTATGGGAATGACTTTACCCGTTTTAAGGAGATTCGGAAAAATTCCTGTACAGTATGAAATATTTATCAGATATGTTATAGGTGAGATAATAGAGGCTAAAAATTTTCTTAATAGAAACCCTGGAACTTCATCAAATCCAGATGAGTAGGTGTTTTTTAATTTTGACCATAATAGCTTGTATAATTCATCTTGATTATAAGGTAGCAGCGAGAACTTATTTGAATGAGGATATCTTTCTAGTGGATTGGACAAGTTTGTGGAATTCTGGGTTTTTTTAATAATATTTAATGGGGCATTTCTGGGGGCATTTAATGGGGCATTCGTCGTTTTCATTTCTTATTGATATGTTATTGTGAACCTTTACTTCGTTTGAGAGTTCCGATATAACCTGCCATGCTGATTTAGTGGGGTTATCTGAGTTGGTGATTTTACCTTGGAAATTTATTTTTTTTGGTGGATTTCACTAAACTGGTATGGATTTTTTTCTGTTGAATATAAAGTGGTTTCATTTCAGCCACAGTAAACTATCGAAAGAGCAAAGAACAAAAAACAACAAATCTATTAATTCCCAGCAAAGATAACTTTTCAATTTGAATCCAAGTAAGCTGTGAAGTAATAATAATAATAAAAGTACCCACATTTTCACATTTTTTGTCCATAGCCATGTACCAAAATTAAATGAAAATGATAAATTTGTCATAAGAATGGTGTCGAAATATCTTTTATCCACCTTCTTTGGGTATTTTCACCTTCCAAATTCTGAAAAAAATATGAAAATTGTAATGGGGAACTTAATACAGATGAAGAAAGGGCAAACTTTTTTGTTCACCCCAATAAGTTACTTCTTAAATTTATTAAATATTTTTCACAAAGAAAAAAATGTTCAGTTTATCAGTACCTTGTCGTATTTGATAACTTTGCCAAGAGCTGAGAAATTATACAGATATTTATCTTAATGTCATAATATCTGTATTTTTCTGTATATATATTTATCTGTATATTTGTATTTTTTTCTTTTCTGTTTCGCTTCATGTCGAATGAGTTTTGAAATGTGTAATATGTTGTTGATTGACTTCTGAAACATTCAGTGTAGTACAAGATGTTCTCTGATATTGGTCTGTTGCAATATCGCCACTATTTTTCTTCAAGATGGGTAGCCAAGTACGATTTTTTTCTATGGAACTATTCGCAATAGGTACACTTCTCTCCTGATATAAGAATATATGCTGATTTTTTGATTTCACGTCTCTTAGAATGGGGTTCTTTGGCAAGCATTTTCGTCTTGTTTTATTCAACTTGATGTTCATTGTCTGATTTCGAAATGTGTTCTTACTATTTTGATCCTGTTAATTCTCTATTTCTGATATAATCTCGATGTTCATTTTCACACACTTTCAATAGTCTTCAATTTCACCAGTATTACTTTCACTACAATAAACAAGGTGTCTCATGAATTAATTCGTCCACAAAAAATAAATGTTCAATACAGGCTGATTCACGGTGGATGGCACATTAGACGTTTCTGGTGAACCAGACAACGGATCACTTTGAAAATTTAATGTTTCACCAGAAACGTCTAATGTGCCATCCACCGTGAATCAGCCTGTATACTTAAGTCTATTTCTAGAAATTCATTTCATGTTTTCTGAAATGACTGTTTTTGAAGAAGTGCAAAAAAGTAATGTTGAAAGTAAATAGATATAAAGTTACAAAAACAAAATCAAACTAAATTTAAAAATCACCATTGTTTTTAGACTAACCTGTCTATTTAAGGATATATTTTATTTATACATTGAAAATAACATGTTTGTTTTGGTTCAGTTTTATTGGTAATTTCTATCCAACAATTTATTTGTTCGAAGGTGGTTGACAATGTTTCGTGGTGTATTTCATCAGTTCGGACTTCCATTGTCTAATATAATATAAATTGATTTGATAACCCTGAAAAAAATATTAATATTTTTAATTTTTTCAATTTTTTCAGCTTTTATTAATATTTCAATTTTTATTTGTTTGGTGTTGTTGTATGTTATTTCTTTGTAACTTCAGTTTTTTGTTTAATAAAATTGCTATTTTCCGTTAATCTTTTTGATTTATTTTCAGGGTTATCAAATCAATTTATATTATATTAGACAATGGAAGTCCGAACTGATGAAATACAACAATTTATTCACACATTTTTTCTGATCATTGTAGTTTAACCTTGATTAAATTAGTGGAATGAGAATCATTTTTTATTTGATTGATATCAATGACATTTATTCTACAATTAAGTGAAGTTACTAATGGCAAATATATTCAACAGCACAAAAACAATATCTGTAAAGTATAAACAACAATAATAAATGACAAGCACTAAGTATATGTGATGCTTTAAGGGTATGTATGTATATGTATATTAGTGAAATATTTGCAGTATTTTAAGATAACATCATAATTGTAGGAGTTACCTAGCCCACAATCTGCTTTTTTTTTCATTATTTCTTCTTATTCTTCTATTTATTATCTGCCCTTCAGTGTACATTTTTGAATTTAGCACAATTTTTTAAATTTTTATTCCTTTTGCTTGAAATCAATTTTAATTTTTACTCAAATATTCCCAGCACTTTATATTCAAGTTGCTTTGATAGTGTTTTTGCTAAATAAAAATTCAGAATCCCTTTTAGCCAATTACTTCATCAGTAAGGACATTCAAAATAAATATATTTTATGCTGCTGAAGTCAACTAACGTATTGTTTAAATCATAATTTATTTTTATTTTCCTCAAAAAGCAAGAGTAATTGTTTGTATTGTGGTAATCGGCAGTCAGAACTGCCTTTATGACAAGTCAATAGGGATATTTAAACATTATAATGGTCCTATGTCAGAAACTTCAAATACACCGAGCTTCATATCAAGAAATTTTTGACTAATGAAAAGTTATGATTACTCCTAGGATTTTACTCGCGATATTGGAAAAAAAAAATGGATTTAGAATTTGGAGGAAATTCTATTGAACACGTTCAAAAGGTCTGATAAATGCGAGGCAACTATTTAAGTTATTATTCATTTCTTGAAAATTATGACTTTGAAACTCGAAATTTCGACTTTCATATTGAAAATACGAGTTAAATTTTTTGTTTCCACGTACATTACTTATGTTCCATCCTGTTTTAGAGTTCCGTTGAACTTTATTATTTTATCATAAGTAATTCTTTGGATGTCATTTTTGTTGTTTCAAAGCCCATAACCCATATTATCATCATGCTATACTACTCTTAAGTATTTATTTCATGCTGATAAGCAAATGAGCAGTGGGGATATCAAATTTTATTCTGATGCCCTAATGAAATGAAAACTTATCAATAACATACGATATTGTGCAGAATATTAAATATACAATTATTGTGTTATCTCATTTTTATCTTTTAATATCAGATTTTTGTCATTTACAAAACCAATAAATATAGCTACGATCAAAGAATATTTTCAAATGAAATATTTTATGAATCCAAGTAATTCAACTGGATTTAATATCTGAAGTATTATAATTGTTCTTATTGATTTATCAGATATTTGAATAGTTGATGAAGAAGACGGAAACACTTTTAATAATTGATGAAACATTCTGAGCGTGGCAAGAAAAATCAATATCCTCTTTGACCTTCTTAAAAATTGAAGAGCATAGATATAGTTTTTGAAAGGCACGGATTTGACTCAACTTTTCCTAAACTATCTCTCATTCCTTGGAATGACTTTCTTTATCATTATTCAAATTTAATGAGAATATGGTAAAAGCTCTCAGTAGAAATGTTCATTGTTATGGATATGGTTTAAAAACCTTCATTTTCAATTTATATGTTTTATTGACTGTATAAACTTTGATACATTGAAAATGTGGTGAAAAAATTGAAATCCATAAGACAATTTCGTGAAGCCTATGCCCGAGCCTATTTTTTGGTATCACAAATTAAAATTCATTAAAATAGGGTCGATTTTATTTCTTTTATGAGTTTATTCTACAGGAACTTTGAAAATATCAACAAAAACAACAGTCAGTTTGTTTCAACTCCTAGTTAATGTTTGTCAAAACATAAAATCATCAATGAAGAACAGTTTGGCTTTCAAAGTGGTAAAGGCACTAATGAAGCAATTTTCTCACTCATGGAAAAAGTTTATACTGGAATCAATAGTGGCGAGGTTGCTGCTGTAGTATTTTGCGATTTCTCGAAGGCTTTCGACTGTGTGGATCACGAAATACTGCTGAGGAAGCTTCCTTATTACAGTTTCAGAGGAGTGGTATTGAGCTGGTTCAGCTCATATTTGTCAGGTCGTAGCCAGATGGTGGAAACAAACCACCGCTCAGAAATTGGAAAAATACATAAGGGTGTACTAGGGCCAACATTGTTCCTCATCTACGTCAACGATTTGACAAGTATAAATATTTCAGGGAAATTCACACTATTTGCGGACGATACTACCATTTTTTGGCAATCGGACAATGCAAACGATTTAACTAAAATCATATCCAACGATATGATGACAGTGAAAAATTGGTGTGATTCAAATAGTCTTTCTCTAAATATTTCGAAAACTAATATATTAACTTTCAGATGCGAACTTGACAATATACCCATTGGGAGTAACATCATTGAGAACAAAAGTAGCCTAAAATTTTTAGGAGTACATATCGATAGTAAACTAAAATTTGAAGAACATATTTATGCCTTGTGTAACAAAATGTCCTCTGGATGTTATGCAGTCAGAGTAGTCGCAAATGAACTTGGTTTAACAGCAGCTAAGACTGTTTATTTTTCTCNGCTTAGCAGATATTATCATTAAAGTGTCAAATTAAATACACATTGAGGATTTATTTGTGAATCAGTATTTTCTTCACTCAAGATGTCCTATTTATTTCAGCTCATTGGTTCTGCCAAAGTATGTTATGCGAGTGAACAATCAGAAGTTAATCCCTCATCTCGTCACATGATCCAGAAGACCATCAACCTCACATTCTGTCGACACATTGCCGTCGACGAAACCCTGAAGTATGTTCCGCATCCGTCTGATCCGAGCAAAACACTACTCAAGCAAGAAGCCGTAGTATTGGTCAAAGGTAGGTTTGGATGATTTTGCATTTTGAAAAAAATTTACATTATTCCGTGTAGTAATATTTGTTTGACAGAAATGATTAATACCAACTAATACCACGACGGATATTGAATTTAATAAAAATCAATCAGCTTTTAATGTCACAGTCAGGTGTTGGATATACAGACAAAGTATATTTTACATTGAATTGAACTGAAAAGACATGCATTCTACAACATGCAGATCATAATAGAATGCCTACAGTTCTTTTGTATAGATAGACAGAGATGTACATCTAAAAATAAAAGATGACAACAAGTCTATTTTTGAGTTGTAAGAAAGTTATTTTACAAACTATGAATATAGTTGAGCAGAATTTCAGCTAAATCAACTTTATAGTTTTTCTCTTCCAGCAAATGTTTGAGGTTATTCTTTAAATTGCCTAAATTTTTATTTATGAACCAATTGAAATTAATTAAGTACTGAAAGTTAAGTGAAGCTTACTGCAATACACTAGTGAAAATCACACCCAGATTAGTTGAACCATTTCATAAACGGGCAGATATTCTAAAAATCATTGTTTTTAGTTCTTTTACTTTGATAAGGACTCCCATTAATAGTTTTCTCAAATATCTTGTATGTACAGGCAGCTCACACTTTTATTAAACACATATTGATTGATATGGATTTGTCTAATATATTTCCCTCTTGGACACAGACTTAGATTCTTATTATTCTTGTTAGGTGTGCCTCTGACCAACTACATGGAAGATCTCCTGACAACCAAGATCTCTACTAATGCCAGCAAAGGTCGTCAAGCTATGGAATGGGTAATAAATAAACTGAATGAAGAAGTAAAGGATCTCACGCGGACTACTGACGAATTCATCTTCCAGTCGAAGAAGTCCCTCGACGACATTGCGTCCAGTGCGAAGAAGTCCATGGACGATATATCTCATAAAGCGAAGAAGAGCCTTGATGACATGCAACAATTCAATTTAAGTTAATTGAAGTCTTTCGTGGATTGTCTAGCACAATTTTTTCATCATTCTCGTCTGGCTGCCTGTGAGAAAATCGTGATGTATTGAAGGAAATTACTGAGAGAAATAAAAAACTTTTCCGTGTTGACAATCTGGCGAATTTTAGTAAGCAAATCTATTTTTTTCTTTTGGTTTGTGAAAAGAAACTAAAATTTGTCTATTAATTGTGTAGAAATATTTAAAGTAAATTTTTATTATACAATAACTAATTTAATGCCAACACCAGAAGAAAATATTTTTACAGCATCGTTATCACTGAAAAAGCATCCTACATACGATACTCAAAGGAGTTCAGGTTATTTTATTTCGAAACTCCTATATTCAGCATCATTATTTTCAGTTTTGCACCGTGGCACGACTCTTTTCCTCTGCAAATTGATTAATTTTCTAACAGGCAGTGAACTCACTGTTCATTGTTGTTGACAAGTATTAGCATTTTACAAAGTATATATTCGCCAGGTTTTTCCTGCATATAATGTGATCATAATACCAATGTAAATAAATATGCCCTGAGATCTTATTTATTGAACATTCCTACAACTGGATGTTTATATTATTGTATTTCCTAGTTGTATATACACCTAAATTCTAGGTAAACAATTATTAGTGATTTTCAGTTGAAATTTATGTTGAAAATAAACGTTCCCAGCAAATATGTTTTTGGTATTATTTTTGCAAATCTCAATAATCTAATGATTAACTTTAATAATAATACTCATGGCATTTTCTATGAAACAGAAATAACTGTTAAAATTAGAATGATTAAAAAAATTGCACTGAGAATGTTTTCAATGTTTTAAATTTTATCTTTGTGATAAATAACCAAATGAACTAAAGAAGACAAAATCGTTATATTGAATTTATGTTGAATTAACCATACAAGTTCCCTTTGTGAAGTTCATACCTTCGTTTTTTCATAATAATTTATATGTTCAAATAGTATTGTAGTCATACATCCATGAATAAACTTATTATTATTTCTACTTCAGGTAGAACATGGAATTGCTTCTCGAACGTTCATTTCCTCTTATTCTATTGGAAATATACATCCATAGAAAGCCCTGTTATAAAAAATGTACTCAATTCCAACACTTTCATTACAAAATGCTGTACTGTATATTTTCCTATAGTTTTGTACTACACCCTTGCGGAAATGTCCTCTCGAACCAAGTACAAAAATTAGAAAAATGAAGAAGAAATAACCATTTCGATATTGTCATTTCATTTCTGTTTTATGTCAAATGTCACTTGAATTTCAAAATTCAAATATCAAACGTTACAAGTTACAAGCATTGAAATTGAAGCACATTATTCTATATCTATACTGTTTTACAAGCTACAAAACAGTTTTTCCAATTTCAATACCCGTTCAGCTATGGACGAAATAATAAGTTTCGACAAAAGCCTGTCACAAAGATTACAAGAATTTACCGACGCCCTTTCGGCCTATAATACCGTGCCAGCCTCTGAATTGGGAAAACAATGGGGTTTTTTCATAGAGGTGACTGTAGACAAAATAGGTTGGCAAGCAATCTGGAAAATACCTCGCGTAGCTTGCGAATCTCTGCACATACATTTTCCTTCTGTCGTGTTAGTTTTTGTATTAGATGTAGATGTGAAAGAACACAAGGCTCTGATAAGAGTCTTGGCCGTCCAAGATGATATTTGCATTCCAGAGAAGCACTGGGTGCCCCTGATTCAGCTCTGGCCTACACGGGGTCAGGATAAAACAATCGCTCTCAGTCTGATGCAAACTGCTGAAGCGTTAGATATGTTGCGGTTTTTCTATTTGTACCTGTACATGCCTTGGGATAGAGATGAGGATGACTCACTAGACTGGAAAGACAAGCATCTGGAGAGTCGGTTGAAGTTCCATTACGATTTAAAGAATGGCACTATACCTAGATCGGTAGCAGAGCACATTCACGGATTGTTGACCGATGCGAGGAGATTGCAAACTAAGAGGGAAATACTAGAGACTCGACTTGCAAATGAAGATCGCATCGGGGAGTTTGAAAAAGGTGAAGTTAAATTTCATTCTGCCTCTTATATGCCAGAAATAGTCTACACTAACGTTGGTTTTCTGTTGCCGCCTATGAAAGATTTAGTGTCTTGCTCTCACTTGAATATAATGAACTTGAATAGTTTTCAAGATTTATGAATGTCAACATAGCCTGTAACGCCTTCAAGTTGTTCTGCTTACACTTCTCATTCTTTTGAAAAACTGTGAAATCTCATCTCGACAATTATTTATTATTTATTTATTCAGTATAAACGGGAAACTCCTGTTTTACAATGATTGAATACAAAATTATATAAGTAGTACCCTACACAGTAAAAACCAACTAAAACTGATATATAAACGCATTTACAACCAACACAGTAAAAACATAATTAAATAGAAAATACATAATCCTTGGCCTCCTGTTTAAATACTTCCACGTAGGTGATAGAATTGGCTGATACATGATGAACATCCAAAAAGCCAATGTATAGTGAGACACATGTTGCAGTTTTGTGAAATGTTCAGTGAAAATCTCACAATAAAGTTTTAATATAATACAATTATTTTTATAACTATCCATTCATATCATATTCACAGTAAGTTAACTTCTTGAAGCATTCCTGAACAATATACGTGTGACGTGTGTTTTCATCATTTCATTTTTCATCAGGCCTAAACTAACCAAGAATTTTAGTTATCTCCAAAGTTATGGTCCAGAAGTAACCAAAAAGCAAACATTTTGACAACTGTTACCTAAAAGACCATGAATTAATAGTCATTATTGGGACATATTCGAATTCCAAAATATTCATAGATTGAGTAGATCTATTATTTCTGCCCACTGTGGTAACTTTTGAATGAAAGAAGAACTGGAAATTTTTTTTCAATATGGCAGAATTGAAATTTGGTTCACCGATTTTCTGAAAACCACATTTCATAAATATGGCAGCAGCAGTTAGTTTTGGAGTGCATTACCGGAATTTTGATTTGTTTTGGAATATCTCGCTAATGGTGCTAGCAAAATGAGTTCCGGGAGACAATATTTTGTTATGGTATAGAAAAAGTGTTTTTAAATACAACCATATTATATTTTCACTTTCAGATTGGTGCCCATTTGTTGCCTTAACAAATATGCTTCCTTATTCTTTATGTTAGTTTTGTCACCATACATTTTTTCTTTGGCAATTGAAATATATTTTTGATTGATTGATATTTTTTAAGCAAATCTGAATGGGATAGGGATATTATATCATGAACAACTGCTTCTACACTGTGGATGAATTCTTCAATTTGATTGTGTAACTAGAAGTCTAAATTCACATACTTATAGGTACATCAATAAAATTTTTGCTGTTGTGTTATGTGAACATTTTATAGTAAGAAACAATTCATTTTATTTTCTTTTTTTTTTGATTGATTCGGCTGTTACTTGATGAAGATTCGTAGTAATTTCATACATATAAAAGATGTAATAGTGTAATGTTTGGTTTTTCAGATATTACAGATAACAAAATTACTAGGTCTCTGACGGAAATCCATATTCGATTGCTTGAAATCCAGAGTCAAATTGAAATCTTAGAAAACCCTATTCTACGTGAAGTATACATAAGGAGACAGTCAGAAGTAGATCCGGTTGACACAAAAGGCAAACCCCAAGTATGGCTAGTTTTCAATGAGGGCACAGCACAAGAACATATCTCGTTTTTGCAACAGGTTGCAAATTGTTATCCGACTGAATCCCTAAAATTTTCCACTAGCTTAGCGAAAATGCTTGAAACAACCAACTCGGGAGATGTTTATTTGCTGAATGAAAGTGTCCACAATATCCGTACGACTGGAGCCTTGGAAAAAGGTGGAGTACTTCATGGCATCGGCTCGAATAAAAAAATTATCCTCACTTCAACCATCGAAGACGTAATGCTTGACTTTAAAGAAGACACTGTCGTTTTGGAAAATTTGACTATAGATACTAGAGCTGCCCAATGTGGGATACTAGTTCGAAAAGGCAGGTGTGTTTTGAAGAACTGTCGAATCCTGGGTGACGGTAAATCTTCAACATACCAGGGTATCATTGTGTTATCTGGCGCCCAGTTGGAGTTGCAGAGTTGCGAAATATCTGGATATTCCACAGGCATTGTTGGGAATAGTGGTTCGAGAATAGATCTGAGGAATTGCGATGTGCATCATATGGATTATGGGATGAAGGTTTTTGATGATTGCATCATTGAGTTGGAAAACACAATTATCAGAGAATGTATGGAGACTGGCTTCACCTTAGAGACGGTGAAGTCTGAGGTTAGCGTTGGGGATTTTGACACATTGAAGTTGTGAGTATTTTTTGTACCATATTAATTTTTTTCCTTTCAATTCAAAACCCTCTCCATTAATGTATTTCGACTTTTTTTTTGTGATATCTGCTACTAATAGCAAGCTCATTGTGGCAGATTTATTACTAGAATTATTTATGAATGCAATACTTTCTCACACAGAAGGTTATAAATTTATATGTACATTGACATATTGGAATGGAAATATTTTGTCATTTCTCAATCAGGATCATTTCCTCCATAGTGGATTCAACTATTTCAAGGGTTTTCTTATTAGCAAAATAATTAACAAGACAAAAACTCATATTGAGTTGGTCATTGATGAAGAGCAAGAAAATCATCGGTACTAGAAATGAACCTTGCGCTGCCCCAGCGTAAACAATTTTTCCTAAAAATTTTATGATTACGCAGTAAAGTGAAACTTCAGCATCACAGTGGTTCTATAACACATAACTCACAACAAAATGAATAGAATTTCAGGCTGCCCACAATTTTTTTTCAATTCAAAATGACAACCAATAGTTTTTGGGACTCATCAGAACCGTCAGATCGAGGTAAATTTTATTCATTTCTCTTTTTCTAAATGATTTTTTTCAGATGAAATTTTTGGATTGGTGAATCTTTCCCAATATGTTACAGGGAAGGTTCTTATATTTTTATTAGTTTGGTTCTCATTCGATGCCTTACGCATGGTCTTAAATGGGGAATTACTAGTTGCTATGACACAGAGACTGAATAAACATTTATGATAAGAGCGGATCTTGTTTTGAGTGTGACAGAATTGATAAATCAACTCATTTATTTATTCAAGTAACACTGTTTGAGATTTCTAATGGTTAAATCTCACAATTAAGTGTAAAGTTATATGATATGACTCTTCTTTTTTCCAAGATTGAAAACTGTAATAATCATTTCCTTCAAATACCTTTCCAAATTTTTTCTGAGGAAAAAAGCCGGAAAATTTCAAATTACATTTTGAACGAATAGAGATTATTTTTTGAATTTAAGGTATCTTTTGCTCAGGGTCATTACCATTTATGACTTACGGTCTAATTAACTGGGGCTATTCTTGATACACTTATCCCGAAAAGAGCCATTAGAGCTCTGGCCGGTATAACCCAGACTGATAGCTATAAACCATGGTTCATTAAGTTCAAAATACTGACACTTTCGTCTGCTTTCCGTTAGAGCATGCATTTGTACACACTTAATGGAGACACACACAAATATCCGACTAGAATGAGATTACATATCGCTATTCCCGATAATACTAATAAAATACTAATAAAAAACTTATTGGTATCAGATTATTCGACTCTCTAGCATTTTTCTTTCGCTCTTTTAATGATTAATCTGTACAGTTTGCGGTAATTATTAAAATATTGTTGGAATACTTCACTGGAAGTATATTTTCTAATCATGTGCAGTTCTCTCATATTCATGGCAGATATTTTAATTCCTTTAGTGATCCAGCTCTTTTTGTTTTTTTCTTTGATTTTTTGTATGGGAAAACAATGTTCAAGCGCTTCACTTATGTTGGTGTGGAATACAGTTAGAGGGTCAAGAGAATACAAATCATTATTCCAATTCATTTTATCAGTGAAGTCTTGGTACTTGATAAAGTTGTTTCTTGTATAGCGTCTGCCGTATCTCTGCCTTAACCTATTCTTATTAAAATCACAACCTAATGAAAAGTATGTGAAAATAGCTTCATGGTCAGAAAGACTTGAAGGTATAACTTGAGTTTGAGTAGCTTCATCATCAAAATTCACACATAGTCAATGATACTTTCGGAAAATTTTGATATTTGAGTTGGCTACCTGACAATCATTTTTAAATTAAAAGAATTTAAGAGAGCTTTCAAGGAATCAGAAAATGAGGTTATATTCTACTGAATTCAAGAGCATGGATTTAAAATTACTCTTGCTAGAGTTATGGAAGCTCAAACTTAGGGTCTCTAATTCACTCCTAGATGGCGTTTTCGTAAGGACCATCTTGAGTTTGTTGACGATTTTTTTGGTTGGACTTCGACATCAACTTGATTTGATGCTTTATATGGATGATATATGTGTTTCCTCCTCTAACGTAACCTTTAAAAATATATTTGAATATTGATGTACATCAAACTCAATATTTGATATTGTAAAAATATGCTCTCCACCTTGTTTATATTTTCAATTCTTTACCGTCTGATTCCTCGCATGATCGAAGATATTGCATCAAAAGTGTGTTCAAGAATCTGTCTCTCATCTGTATGAAAGACCGGTCCGACATCGCTTCACTCAGACATCGCCATTTCTTTGACCTCAAATATTAATTCACTTTGGACACTTTGTTTGCAACTTGTTTGTATCGGTCTTTCTTTCAGAATTTCTGGTGTAAAATATGCTGACGTCACTGGTACCAACAATGCAAAAGGAGATGTTATGATTCTAAAAAAACAACAGTTGAAACCTGTTGAAGACTTGTTCGCCAATCCGGATCTGGATCCAACTATTATTGAATCAGATAGTGATGAAGATACACTGTTGGAAAATTGATATTATTATATTTTATATTGTTATACTCATGTTAGCTTTAATTTTTGGGGCAATAAAAATATTTTTTTAACAGTACCTGTTTAAATTGAAACGAACGTTATTAGTATTATTTTATTCAGCAATTTCTTCTGGTAATACAAGACCACACATATTTACAGTCACTTATATTATTATAATATTTCAACTATAAGTTATTGTGTAATTGTGCAGTTTATATGTAAATTATAAAATTGAGCTGAAATGTCTCCTATCCCAGTCCACTTAATATGTTCAATTTTCCTGTGGAGAGTGAAGACAGGGTTAGTAGTCATTGCATTTGAGCTTAACTTTTTCAAATACCACGAACTCTGAACTTTTTTGAGAAAAAAGGACGGTGCAAAAGCAGGACGGTATGTGCAATAGCTCTAACATATAATTCGTTTACAATTCAAATTGGTTCCAAAGCTTTGCAAGAAAGGGTATAAAGATTTTGAACTATCTTTGTAGTTATACACAGGGTGGGCCGCAATCTGCTGGAATCTGAGCATAGCATACATACTATATACTGCCAATGAAAAATGAATCGACCATTACTCACATTTCACATGAAAAAGTTCATAATATGTAATATTCAGTAATAAATATTATCAAAACGTGACATTTTTGTGAATTCCTCCACATACTTGATTATATTTTGGTATTTTCTAGTTGCCTTATAAATAATCTTTGGCATCTTCCATCCTCTGAATTGTCACAGCAGCATTGCTGATTTCAGAGTTTTACAATATTGATTCATCGATAGTTAATCTGTGAAACTTCATTCCTTTCTGGTAAGTCAATATCCCAAATTACAATAGTCAAATTTCATATTGTATAAAAGGAATGTAATGAAAAAATGTAAACTACATCGAAGAGTAAACTATGCTTCAATTGTGAAATACCGAGAATTTTCACTAGGAAATTCAAAAATATAAAAACGATAATTTGTGAATGAATAAATGGGTTGATTAATAATTTTTTAAACTTTAAAATCAAAGTGTCCCTCTTTTACTATAAAAAATGTCCAAAGATACTATGCACATTCTCTTATGGATCAAATTGAAGAAATCAGTCACGATATCAGAACCTTAGTCTTCATTATAAGAATGTGTAACATGACTTTTTTTTGTAAATATTTGTTATAAAACAAATATTTTTCCAATGGGGTATCTGTTTTTGAGTGATCAACACTTTTGTTCTTTTTTCTTCCTACCCACCCTGAACCAAACTGTTGTACAAAGATGGGTCTATACTCGAATTCTCTTGATTATTTTTGGCAGCAGAGAACGTACAGCAAATTGGTGCTCTTTTCACTAAATTATTAAACTAGATAGTGCTTCATCTATTCACCATTAAATCAACACCCTGGTTTTAAGAAATCACTAATTTAAACTAACCTAAGTACACATCTATTAAAGTAATATCGCTACAACTTTTGATAAACTCTTCCAAAGGTTCAACTGATAAAATTTAATTAAAATTGTTTCTAGACGTGCTGAAAACCAGTCCAGGGCTGTTACAAACCCCGGCGGTTCACCCCAATACTCTACTGAAAAAGTATGGGTAGAAAGGTCTTCTTTGGGGCCTGGTGAGCTGTCTTTGTCTGTTCGGTTTTTGTTGAGCAGCGGTTTCGTCAATTTCAACTGGTTCCTCGGTAATTTCCGAACCTAATTCGTTTTTAACTTCGTCCTGCAGAGAATTTGGCTCCAGTTGTTTTTTTAGCGACTGCTTGATTTTGATCTCGAAGTCTTCAATTATCTCGCTGTCGTTATTTGCTTTTAAGTTTGTGTTCAATGCGTCGATGTTAGGGTCTATCTTGTTTGGAGGTTCTGTTTCCAATTCTTTCTTTGTTTTGTTGGTTTCAGTAGTGTTTACATTATCTTCACTTTGTGTTTCCTTTCTTATCATTGGCACCTCTTTTCGAAACGTCCTGTTCAACTTCAGGGAACTATCGTGAATGACTGGGAATATTTCCACTTCTTTACTGATGTCTTTCACGGCCTGTGGTGCTTCAGTTTTTGCGTAGGGCTTCTTTTGGGAATTATTCTTAGGGTCAGACATTTTATAAATATCTTTCTTGGAAGCAGGTTTGTTCTTGGAGTCCGTATATTTTTTCTGATTCTTTTCAGAAAGTTGCGTGAGTTTAGTCGAGGGCTTCTTTTCCGTTTTTTGCTCCGCCGTAGAAGTTTCCAGAGTTTTCAAGTCACGATCTGAAGTTGCGTTTAGTTCAATTATGTCGAACATTGTTCCTGTAAGAGATGAGAAATAGTTTCGAATTAGTTTGGAATTCAGATGAGTGTACAGACATTGACTGCAGAGTATTTAATAAAGTGAAAAGCTTCGTGTTTGACTGATGAATACTAAAGGCTTTCATAATGTGAACAACTTTGGAAACGTCGGGAGTTTTCAAATGAAAATGAAATATCAGGCTACATACATTTATGAGGAAGGTTACTGGCTATCTAGCATTAAACTACGATTCTCAATGGCCTTTAATATTGAGATTTGTGAAGTAAGTCTGAAGAAAAACGATTGTTTTATTCGCGTGCGCTGTCGTTATGGTTAATAATTTTTAATTTCAATGTAGTACAAAAATATCAGTTTTCAGTATATCTAAAGAGAGTCTGCTGTACAATGTTCGCTGGTGATACCACACTTTGGTGAAAAATATGTAAATATCCTTCTTGCCACTGTGGTTCGATGCAAGTCTCTTAGGCTTAGTAACAGAAAAATCAAAGTACTCACGTTCAAATGATCTCTAGCAGATAGATGGGACGCTAAAATTTAAGGAATATGATATAAGAACCCCTTCGAAAAAATTTACCTCAGGAGCTTTTGCTTTCAGAATTATTCCAAATGAACTGAGGTTCTAGTCTATCAAATGTACATAAAGCTTAGAGTTCCAAAAGTAAACTCAACACCGATAAAAGATTCTGTGATTCACGATGGTTTGAAAATATTCAACAATGTGCTTATGATAGAGCAGCTCAGATATCACCTTGTTGATAAGGTTTAGTATACATTAACATACGCCCTGGATGACCATATTTTTTACTTTTTAACAATGTAAACCTATAATATTCCTGCTCACCCCATTTCTCTGAATAAATAAAATGTTTTGCGCAAACATTTTATTTAAACTAGGTGAAGTTTTCGAGTAGGTAGGTATGCTTTTAACGTGATTTTAATTTGTAGCATAGTTGACGTACGTGTTTGTCAACAAGATTTCTGTTTTCTTAGGACAATGAACATGTATCTCATCATCATCACGTGTATCTCTTATAAGTGAGCCACAATAAATAATTTTGTGCCAAAAAGTTATCGAAAAATTTTAGCATTATTATTAGGCAGGGATATTCATTCATACGGACGAAAATGATTTCATCAAGGCAGTTTTATGAAGATAAACTTTTGACTTCTATAACATGTTATTTGGACCAGCGCCCGATCTAGGGGGGCAAACCGGGCAATTGCCCGGGGCGGCTAAACTTAGGAGCGGCAAAAATAGGTTAAAACTGTACCATCTATGGAATAACGCATGGGTAAAAGGCGGCAAATATTATTTTGCCCGAAGCGGCGAAATAGCTGGATCGGGTGCTGATTTGGACACATAGTCCAGGAGATAATGTAAAATTCAAATCATTCAACATTACTATTTACCGAACGGTCGGTGCGAGACGCGGTAATTTTGGCCACCGAAATAGAACCGAACATTCCCGAGAATAACCGATCTGTGAAATTGCGAGGAACCATGCCGCGCCTAGCTTTTTCGATTCATTAAAGTAGTGCACACTCAGTGTATTTTTATACTTTATTAATGAATTAAGAAATATTGGATATATATGCACTGATAGAGTGCACTATTTCACCAAGGCACACGGGTGGAACCGCAGAGCGTAGCTAGTTGTATATTTAGAGAGAAAAATCTGTTGATTTTTTGCGTTCAGCTCCGCCTGATTTTCAATAGTGTTTTAGGCCTTTTAGGGAACAACCAGATCCAATTAGGCGACAGCGCCTTATTGGATCTGGTTGTTATGAGTGTGGTGAGCCCTGGCACTAACTAGATGATAGTTGCAAAAATTTCTATATATAGACTAGAATCGTGGCTGGGCGTTTCTTATTTCCTGTTGGTTGGGTTAATAGGAATGAAGCCAGCCCATCAACAATGGAATAAAACAAGAAACCCTAATCCTGAACGATAATGTAGTATGTGTTATGAGGACAACTGCTGCAATTGCAGCAGTTGTCTTATCGCTTTTGATAATATCTATCGCAGACACAAAAAACCTACGGACCACGGCCAACAAACTCGGAAAGTACCTAGCAAATGTCAAAGATTACATTCGTCGCATTTACTTGCGACCCCAGAAAAGGCTGCGATGGAGTTTCTCACGATCCTTTTGAAAAAGCTGTGTTTTAACGTAAAAAAGAGTTGCGACACTCAATTTTCCCAAAACTTATCTGAGAAATAGAATGCATTCGGTGTAGGTACTTTGATGATATATCGTCGAGGTGAAGAAATGCTAACCGTGATTTGCCTCGGGGCTTTATGATGGATCCACTTATATTTATAATTCATTTTCCAAATCCTATCTCCAGGTTTTTGTAGTTGTTACGCAAATGATATTTATCTTTCCCAATACCGTGAAAATAACTTTCTTCTGAACGAATTCACCTTCCATTTCGTTTATTAGTTAGTAGTATAGCTCACAACTTGCTGAAACGTACAAAATTTTCTATAGATTCTCATACCTTATTATTCGCCTATTATGCACTATTCAACTTTAATTTGAATTATGGAATTCTTCAATGAGACTTCATTCACTAAGGTCTCTTTGAATTCAGAAACTGGTGGCTAGTGCATCATACAAATTTTGGTGCTTAAAACCTTTCAACGGTTCAAAATTATGTACCACCCTTCAATTTATATGAATTTCAAGGATATTCTAATAGTGTTCCTGAAATACATAAAATTAAGTAAGTCTGAACTCAGTTTTCAGATTTTGCCAGTGACAGTCGTTTAAAAAATGGTATTATCTCATCTTCAATAACAAAGTGTGAAATTATTTCGTGAATGGCAATTACAACTCCATAGATTAATTTTAACAATGTGTATAATCAGTGCCTCTTAATTGCAGTTATGACCATTCTATATTCAAGCAGCTTTTTTTCAATTGTCATGTGATATTTATTTGTATGAGTGTTTGTGTGTAGTCATGTCATTCATTTAAAATAATTTTTTGATGGGTGACATGGAGATCACTTAATGATCTTCACATATTCATAATATCTCAATTTCTAAACAATCATATTTTTCATGAAGACCTTGTGATGTTTAATGTTTTTCTACATTAAATCAAATAAAGCAAAATTTAAGAAAGTATTATTGTTATCTTATCTCCGAAATTGATCTTTGAAACAGTTCATTTGTTTGATATGTTCATTACCGTTTATCTGTATTCAAATATCAGAAAGTTCAAGTAACAACAAAAGCTTTTGTTATCTGAGCGACCAACACTAAATGAGCAGAGCAGATAATAGTTACCATTTTCGATGATACTAAACAGTTGACCTTGGCTTATCGCACTCGGATATTCAGCAGATATATCTTTATCGATTGATCCTTTTTGTCCATTACTGGAGACTGTAGTAGATATTTGTGCTACCTCAATTATAGGAGTAACGTTATCAGTGGTCACTCCTTCGACTGTTTTAGCTTCTGGTGGGGTTTCAGAAGATGATATTTTCAAGGAAGTTGACTCCGCGGCAGAAGATTCTGGTAGATTACTGGTCGTCATTTCCGTATCGTAATTGGTAGCTGCAAATATTTCCAATAAGACAAATATCAAAAAAGTAATTTACGACAACCATGCAAATCATCTGACCTGAGTCCCATTGAGAAAACTTACCTGTATAAGTATCTTGTGTGATAATAGGTTTTTCGACCGCATGTAACTTTGCTGTGCTCTCTGTCGATCCTGCTATGAGGGTATCTTCAGTCTCTCTCCTGTGCCTTGTAGGCATTCCGTTGTCGACTTCTATGGTATTCAGTGTCCATATAGGAGTTTTCATGGTTCTACCGGTGGGGGCGCTGTTTTCTGTCGGGGCGAAGACTGCTGTGGGAAACCCTCCAAGAAGTTTGGTGGATTTATCTTCAAAATCATCGTGAGGTATTGCGCAAGTTAGCTGTTTGAGGATTTCTTCTCTGTCCTGGTAACAAGTTAATACTTCTATAATTATATCTGTCTGTTTTATAAACTGATTTTCCGTTAACCGGCTGTCGCCCCCTTACGAACGGCAACACTTAAAAGTAGAGACTTATGCGACCTAAGGATTACCAAGGTGTTACTTTTGAACGTGCAATTCCCGGTACGGGTTGAACAATTGTCAGTGAAAATCGATCGTCTGGCCTCTCGGCTCGAACCATCGTTTCACCTGACGGTCGATTGAATGAGTAGAATAAACCACTCCGCCAACACAACCGGTTACCGTCCCAAACATATATGAAACAAAACTGTTCCACGATAAATAATATGTGAATTATGTGGTTACAACCAAAGTCTTTTTTTTAATCTATATTATGGGATAGGAGGCTATCCAAATTTGAGCCACAGAATGGATATGCGGTAAACGGTATGAGAAAGAGAGTTAATTTGAGAAAAAAGCTTATCTTTGAGTACTATTACATTATTGAAAAAATTCATGACTCTTTGGTTGTGGAGGCATATGAAAAAAATCTAAAAGCTATTTTTGTCCACATCCCATTTGTTGGCGGATATTTTGAACATTTCATCATACTCTTCCTACCTTTCATAGGCTATAAAAATATCCCCATCTGTCTGTATATTATACAGGGTGTAACTAAATGAGTGTAAAACATTTAAGGAGGTGATTCCTCATCGAAAAAAAGATAGGATCTTTCATATAAAGCAATTTCATTGGAGCATCCTTTGTTAAGATACAGCCCCTTAAAGGGGGTACATAAAATTTGTATTACAATTTTTTTCAGAAGCACTAAAAAAGTTACAATATTGAAATTAACCTGATGTTTTGTACTACCAAAAAGAGATTTAGCCAGAAATTTATTTGGTTTACCCCATGGCTGTAAGGGGTGGAAAACGCAACCCCTAAAATTTATTTCCAATGTAACTTTTTGTCTTATTATTTGTTTACCATTTAACAATTTATTTCCGATAGCCTGTTTCATTCTAAACAAAAAATGTCTCTTGGGTTTTTTGCCCAAAATAAACCAGTTCGCAGCAAAAAATTATTTTACGAACAACTACAGAGATACATCGTCATAAATAAATGCGAAAATACGAAACCAATCTATTTAGTAGGTCGTTATTAGCGATAGTGACAATTGGTATGACGCTGTCAGTTTGTGAATTTTCGAAATTGAATTAATACTAATTGTGTGTTATTCTTCTGTTCTTAATTTGTTACTTTAATAATTCACTTGTTATTAAAGTGGCATACAAAAATGAGGAAATGGCTGATATGCATTACGTTTACGGTCTGTCGCAACTTTCTAGAAGATATGCCAAAATGTATCCTTAACGGCAGCATCCTTCACATAGAATATTTGCTCGACTTCATCAACGATTACGAAAATATGGTTCATTCGACAAAAGAACGCAGGATTATGGTCGCCATCGAGAAGTACGAACACCATAGCTTGAGGAAACAGTACTTAATTTGATTGAAGAACAACCTACTACCAGGACTAGAAAGTTTGCTTTACAGCTAAATGTTGATCATATGACGGTATTTCGAATTTTAAAGGAACAACTCTTATACCCTTACCATCTGTAACGAGTACAGGCACTCTTACCGCGAGACTTTCCGAATCGTCTTGAATTTTGCAATTGGATGCTGGAAATGATTAGAAGAAATTTTGACTTTCTGAAGACGATAGAATTCACAGAAAAATGAAAACCTTCACGCTATTGTCGAAACTAACCATCAAGAACAGTTTTCTCCTAACGTGTGGCTCGGAATTATTGGGGATAATTTAATTGGGCACCATTTTCTACCTTCTCGATTGAATGGTGAGGCATACGTTCAATTTTCAAGAGAAGTTCATCCAGTTCTGCTGGAGGAAGTTCCTTCGGGCGTCAGAAGGTATATGTTTTTTATGCATGATGGGGTTCCCGGCCATTTTAGTCAAGTAGCACGTCAGCATTCAACTGAAACATATGCAAATCAGTGGATAGGTCGATTTTTTTTCGATGAGGAATCACCTCCTTATATGTTTTACACTTATTCAGTTACACCCTGTATAAGGCTCACTTGTGATTTTTGTGTCAGGATGATATTGAATTTAGATATACAAATCTTTTTGATAATTCTGAATATTCATTCGAAATTCATCCATTAAACTGATCAACAAACGGAACACAATTTTGTTGGTTAAATTGACTTCGGTGCCTACAAAGTGTTATTTCTATAGTGTCGTTTTCAAGGCGTTACTGTTAATTGTTGATTTTTCATGCTTTGTTTTTAAACAACTATACTTCAAGTTCCAACATTTCTGAGAATAATAACAACTCAGTTATTTTGCTCAAGATATAGGTATGTACGATATTTGATTAGAACGTCAAATCATTATATTTCGAAATTGAATGATACTTTTGCATAAATGGTGAGCTAGATATTGAGAATTCAAGTTGGTTTGCAATTTACTCAGTTCAGTTCAATTTCTGATTGATACTGATTTACTTATTGAGCATGATGTTATATAAGGTCAATGCAAATGATTTTTAAAAAACATATAATCAATAACATCATCAAAATAGTTGTAAAAGAAACATTATGCGTTTTACGGGAAAATAAATTACAGACGATACAATGTACAGGGGATGAATTTTAGGGGGAATAGGATAGGTTTTTCACGATTTCCACTGAAACTAGATCGACTAGTGACAAAAATGTTCCACACATAAATTGTAGGAAGTATGAAGATCTACATCTTTTGTGACATTTGAAGAAAAAGAAAGTGCTGCTTCATCAAGACAATGTACCGTGTTAGGAATCTCACGTTAAAAGGTAAGACCTCTTTAGCCCTTACCACGCACAAGTTTCGCCTTCTGAGGGTTGTCGTTTGTAGGGGTGCGACAGTTGGTTAACGGAAAAACATATTTTAACATATAATTAATGAAAAACGGCTCAATTGCATGAATTGGGCTTCGAATTGCTTTCGCATCCACCTTATTCTCCAGATCTGGTCTCCAGCGACTTGTTCTTGTTCTCAGACCTCAAGACAATGCTCGCTGTAAAGAAATTTTGCCCCGATGAAGAGGTAATTCTCGGAACTGAGGCCTTTTTTGATGCAAAAGACAAATCGTACTAAAAATGGTATGGTATATCACCTTCGAAGGTAACTATATTGAATAATAAAATCAAACATTGTCAAAAAAATTTTTTTGTTTCGCTGGGAATTTTCGCTTCGTTTTAATGTATTATATGTGTTCCACCTCTTGTCAAAACTTGCTCTCCTAATCTCGATTTTTTATATCTCGGTTTGTTATATTTGTTCAGATAATTGTATTCTGAAGGGTCTCACCAGTACATCTTTAACCTGATACACACGGAACAGTGTGAACACATTTTTTTAAATTTTTATTCCTCGTTTGTCGGCTTTGAGTTAATGAAGATGCTAGATGCTTTTTACTTCTCCAGAAATACCCTGTAGGTGACCAACATATTTTAAAAAATGGCTCTTGTTGTAGATGTCACTTTCTTCAACTAAGGCAATTTCGTTTCGAAAATTTCATATTATGGATGTTGAATGAAAATTTGGATACTTATCAGTATGAGTTTCCTTTTTATAAGTATTTGTTTCCAAATGATCTAAACATTTTGTTATCAGTGCATCAAGATATGAGGGTTGATGTTTTCTTTTATTGTAAATTGTATTGAGGTTCTCTGTTATCGATTAAATAAAAAAGTGTCATGTTGCTGAATTATAAATATATCGTTAATACACCTTCACTAAGCTTTTGGACGTCTTGGATAGGTATCTACAAAGTTGTCTTAAGAAATTTTTATGCAAATATTTCTAAGCACGAAGATATGATAACGTAACCCAACGAAACGAAAATAAAACGTCCTGTAACATACTGAACAGTATTGGGACTATGGCATTTTAAAATGAAATTAAATACTTCAAAAACGAAAGCTATGATTCTAACAACCTCTTACAAATATAAACAAATAAATATAAATATTCTTTCCCTGTATGCTGATGGTCAGAAACTTGAATTTGTGAAAGACTTCAAATATTTAGGTTTTATGTTGGACAACAGTATGTCTTTTGGTGCACACTATAACTATATGACTAAAAAGATTTCAAAAAAACTATATTTCTTCACTAGAATTTCGAAACACCTTTCTACAAATGCGAAAATAACCGTATATAATACAATAATACAGCCCCATTTTGATTATTGCAGTACGCTGTTATACAGTTTTGACCAAAATAAAATTATGTCTCTGCAAAAGTTACAGAACAGAGGAATGAGGGTGGTTCTTGGATGTAATCGTTATGCAAGTATATGCTTTATGCTCAGTGCATTACAGTGGATGTCTATTCGTGAAAGATATTACAGGTCAGCAATGATATTTATTTTTAAGATAACCAATCATATGCTACCTTCTTATTTCGAAGAATTTATCATTTATAGAAATTCCACTCACAATTACACTACTAGACAAAATGACAATTTTCACCTGCCACGATGTAGTTTATCAAACTCCATGAAAATTTTATTATATAAAGGCCTCATTGAATATAACAAACTTCNGTGGGTACTTATACTCAGATTCAACCGAAGGTTGGGTCATCTGCGGCGTGTGCCACGGTTGGGCGCATAATTCATGTGCCGGAGTAGATGAGGAAGATGAAGAGGCACACATTTGTGAACGCTGTCTACCCGATTAAAAAGCGTACTCGTTTTGCCCCCACAGCGTTTCCCATCTTACCCCAGTTATGGGGCAAAACGGGAAATTTGCCGAGTTTATTTTTTCATTATTTGCCAAAAAAAGTTCTATGATTTTGCATGGTACAACGTTTAATTATAAGAGAGAAATGTATAATGGTTACCTCTTTTGTTAAATAATGTTATTAAAGAGTTTAATTTTCCTTGTATAACGAGTTTTGTCTTAGCTATCTCATCTTGCCCCAGTCTCCCCTACCTGGAAATATTGTCTATTCACGTAAAAAAAGTTTTCGTTACTATTATTATAGTATTTGTGCAGTAGCGGTTTGAAACGAACGTGTTTTTTTCTCGTAACGAAAAACAGGAGCAACGTATGAATCTCAAATTTCTCGTTAAATTGAAAAAAATTCCGACTGAGTGCTATAAATTGTTGCAAGAGGCCTATGGGGACAATTTCTTATCTCGTGTGCGTGTTTTTGAGTGGTGTAAGCGCTTCAGTGAGGGCCAAAAGAGCACTGAAGATGATCAGTGCCCGCGTCGCCCTGTCACTGTTTCAACTCCGGAAACAGTGACCAAAATCAACCAAATTATGCGTGCAGATCTTCGAATGAGCAACCGGATGATTGCCGAGGCTGTAAACGCCGATAAAGAAACGGTTAGAAAACTTTTACACTAGGAATTATACATGACAAAAGTCTGTGCGAAGTTGGTGTCAAAAAACCTGTGACTCCTGACGAAAGCTCTTGCGTCAACAGTTAGAAGAAGATCCCGAACTGAGAAAAACATTATTACTTGCGACGAAACGTGGATTTTTCAATACGATGTTGAAACAAAACGGCAATCGATGCATTGGAAAACGCCTCAATCGCCCAGAATAAAAAAAGCAAGGATGTCCAAATCAAAATTCAAGACAATGTGGATCGTTTTTCTCGACGTTACAGGCATCGTGATGAATGAATGGGTTGCAGAGGGTCAGACTGTCAACCAGACTTACTACTTGCCAGTGTTGTCAATACTGCGAGAACGAGTTCGTAGGAAACGACATGAGTTGTGGAAAAACAACTCGTGGATTTGGCACCAGAACGACGCACCTGCCCATAACGCGTTATCTGTGAAGCGGTATTTGACCGATAAACGTACTCCAGTGCTCGAACACGCGCTGTATTAACCAGATTTGTCACCATGCGACTTTTTTTTTTGGAAGATGAAATCTGCTTCGAAAGAGACCCGATTTGAGTCGATGGAAGCGGTAAAGCAAAAAACGACAGAGCTCCTAAAAGCCCCCACCAAAGAAGACTTCCAGCACTGCTTCGATCAATGGAAAAACGTATGGAAAGGTGTATGGCGAGCAGAGGGGAATATATTGAATGGGAGCTTTCGAATGTAGAATAATTTTTATAATAAAATCCTCTTTCGCAATCAGTCTCGTTGTTTAAAGCCGGACCTTGTATCACATCAAGTATGCATGCATGCATGCAAGATTTCAATATTCATTCAAAATTATATTTGAATATTTGATTCCATTGGTTCAGTTTGATTAGGTGAGTGACAGTGATTAGAATTGTGAGAAAGATGCATAACTAGGCCCTGAGAGTATCGTCTGATTTAATAATAATGACGCTGTTACAAAGAAAAGTTTTATAGCTGTGAAACTCTGTTTTGGTGGCCAAGTCTTCAATTTGTTGTTCATCGTTTTCTCGGTTTGATGGAAATAATCTTTGAGAATTCATGTTTTTGTATTTTGAAGTATGTAAGCAAATAAATTCATAAGAAGTGTTTGATGAATCCTCATCTTAATGTAACTCAAACGCAGTAACTTTCTTGGAAAAATTAACTAATTGGCCCTTAATATTTGATTGATTTCAAGAAGTTTTTCACTTAAATAAAGTACTTGTGTACTTCCCCAAAAAACATTCAGACAACCCTTATCCATTTTTCATATTTTACCACCCTATACAGGAGACGGAAAACGTGAAGTGTAACAACTTTTGAAAGACAAATATATGGAAAAACAACGACATAGTCTGTTGCAAATTTTTTTCTCACTCAAAAACCGAAAAGCCAACCCTCGGAACTGAAGGCGCAAATCGCCAAAAGTTCAGCGAAACCCCATCATTCAATGGGATGTGAAGTCACCTCTTCGACCCGCCAACGAACCCTAATTAGCGAATCCCGAAAGACAAACCCGACGACAAAAAGCGTACAAGTATCAACTTTTTACTCACCGCATCGCCTTTGCACGCTATTCTTTTGGTGCCGTCCAGACCGCAATCGGACATCAGTTCCAGGGACGATTGTTCCGGGACGTAGAGAACGGTCAGCGAGGGCAGTTCGGTCAGAAGGCAGCCCCTGGGACCGAGGGCCCACGACGGAACTGGAAAAAAAAACGGAAAAGTTCGATGACAAATACGGAAGGGCGTTTTATGGGGATGATTAATCTCTTCGTCGATGGGGAGAATTTGTATTCGAAAATGGGATAATTTTCAATTTTTTTGTATACAAAGTGTCCAGGAGTTTTTTCGTAAAAAGCAGTGGCTTTCAGAATTTTGTAACTTAAATCAAATGCACTTTTTCAATCATTTCTGAAATACGAAATATTCGCTAGGAGTGACCTTTCCAAATATTTGAATAAACTGAAAATTAATTCAATTCAATTCGGTTTATTGTCCCAAGAAACAATGAATGCTTATAATTAGAGACTATAACTAACTACAAAGTATAATAAAATAACAGAAATAACATATATAAAAGTAGTGAAAAATTCATTTTTTCAAATGAAACCCCCTGTATATTACTCGGTAAATTGAAAGATGGTGAAAAATGCTTCAAGATGATGTATCATGTCCCTATACCTAAATCGTCAAGTTTTCTCAATAAAGTCGCTTCTTCTAGAAACATTTTTTTTTTTGGATTTGGTTCAGTTCAGTTTCGATTCTACCTGTTCTTTCAAAAGTGCTCGAAAGAGCCACTGAGTCTCAAATAGTACCATTTATCTGCTCGATAAATTATTTATCAGCGAAACAATCAGGTTTTCGGCCAGGTTACATCTGTAGCTCTGCATTGACTGATGTGTCAGATGATGTTCTGAGGGGAATATATGAAAGTAAGGCAACTATCCTGGTACTCTAGACTACACAAAAGCGTTCGATATGTTGAATCATAGAATTCTATTGGCAATTCTAAATCATATCGGCTTCTCTGTGCGAGCTTGCGATTTGATAAAATCATTCCTAACGAACAGATTACAGCGAGTAGTGTATAAAAATGAGACATCGACGGCGATGACTGTCACTACTGGTGTACCTCAAGGGAGTATTTTGGGTCCATCATTTTATACAATTTATACTGCACCGTTCGTAAAGTCATTAACTCGTTGCGAGTATCATCTATACGCAGACGACACGCAGCTATACTTTACCTTTAGCCCATCAGATACTGCAGCAACAGAATATTCCCTCAACTATGATCTGCATAAACTATTTGAAATATCAAATGAACATTTATTGAAAATCAATCCAAAAAAATCCATGGCTGTACTTTTTTGTACTGATAGAATCAGAGAAGAATTGCAGGCATCTTTGAACATTAGTATGACTAATGAGATTGTTTCTTTCAGAACAACCGACCGCTAGAAATCTGGGTTTGATAATTGATAATAAACTAAAATTCACGGAGCACGTTACGTCAAAGTTGAGAATTTGTTGTGCTAATTTGAAAATGATCTACCCCCAGAGAAAATTTCTAAATCAAAGCACAAAGAAAGAACTATGTGATTCAATTGTTCTCTCACACATGAACTTCCTGTGATAGCCGTGTTTAGATAACAGAGATTCCGGACGTATTCAGAAATTACAAAATTCTTGTTTGATGCTGATATTTGGTATAAGGCGAAGACAGAGAGTGTCGCATAAAGTGAAGGAAATAAACTGGATGAATATGTATAATCGAAAACTACTTCATACAACCTGTTTCTTCTATAAAATTTTAAAATATGAAAAACCCTCTTATTTACACAAAAAATCATCTTCAGAAACCATGTTCATAATGTCAATATTCGTAGAAGAGGAATTATAACTATACCCTCCCATAAGAAAGAGATATTCAAACGTTCCTTCACATACTGCACGGCAAATCTTCTGAATAAATTCCGGATCACTGACTTCACAAAATCGATGGCGTCATTCAAAAGAATAATGAAAGAGAAGCTATCTCAACATTAATATATTTAGTACTCAACTGGCAGTTTTCATAATATTCGAAAAATAATAATCTTAGTCGATTACCATTTACTTAGATATATGCATTTTCCCTCTGGGCCTCAACAGCACCTGATCTCGTATCAGAAAGCTGACAATAGGCCAATTAATCTGTGTATCACAAAATATATGTATCATCATACTGATCATGTAATTGTGAATTCGGATTAATAAACGTTTTATTATTATTATTTGACTCCGGGGTCTCAATATGCCTACTCCTCAGGTCTCGTTGCGAGTTTTCACTACAGTGTCAAACTGCCTAGGTACACTCCTTAGATTAAACCCGAACTCAATAAGAAACTAAATTATTCGGGACGCCCGACAGGAGTAATAACTAAAACTAATCTAAGTTGAACTATTTAATATTGAAATTGTTTATCTTGAGAAAAGCTTAAAATTGAATGTATATTGATATGATATTGAATAATAAAATCTTTTATTGATTTATTTTGTGTACATATAATATAGCTATCATAAGCCATTTGTTACTTTCTTAGGATTAAATAATGATACTAGTAATGTGTATACACAAAATTAGTATCTTATTTTTAAGCCACATTTCACATGCTGGTTAGATTTTTATAATGCTTGTTATTGATAAACTGATTATATTATATTTTTAAAGTTACCGTTCGTTAGGAGATTTTGTAATGTTCCGAGAATCATCTTCAAATTTTGTATAATCACTTATAAAAGCGTAGCTCAGGTTACGCTACGCCCAACGATTTTACAAATTTTTTATCTGATCAATACAGTAGATTGCTGAGGAGAGTAGTGTCATTAGTGGGTACACTACCTACATCATTATTAAAAATATGTCCAATACTGAAATCAGGGGCTCCAAATAACACTCTGAACTATCGACCCATAACAATTCTGTCCAACTTTGCAAAGGTTTTTGAGATGTGTCTGTGTAGCAACATATTTCTTAAAGTGAGAAATAGTATAACTTTATATCAGCATGGTTTCATCAATAAACGTTCAACAATAACTAATCTCATGTGTTTTACACAAACGGTCAGCACTGCGTTAGATAAACAGCTACATGTGGATACAATCTATACAGACTTCTCAAATGCCTTTGATAAATTGAATCATCAAATTCTACTGAATAAACTTTTTTCTGTTGGTTTCGATAGTCAACTGTTGAATTTACTACAATATTATCTTCAGAATCGTACGCTATTTGTAGAATACAAAGGACACAAATCAACAGAATGCACTTCAACTAGTGGTGCTCCTCAAGAAAGTAATCTAGCTCCTCTTCTATTTTGTTTGTTTATAAATGATATTGTTTCAAATATATCTAGTAATATATTACTCTTTGCTGATGACTTGAAGATTTTCAGACCTATTGAATCAACCGAGGACTGTCTTATTCTGCAGAAGAAAGTTAATTCGATACATGAATGGTGCATACTAAACAAGCTTCCACTGAATATTCAAAAATGTAAATTTATGAAATACTCCCTCAAGCACAACAATATACAGTTTGACTATGCAATAAATGACGTCATATTAGAATATTGCATATTTTTATGCAAGTCGAACTACAATCTAATTACAACCCATAAGTGAAATACTGTGTTTCAAACTCTCTGCACACTGCCAATTCTATTAGAATTCCACAGTATATATTTTTTTTATTATCATTGTTTGTATAATATACTAACTACTCTATTACTCTGCTGATTTTATATGCTATTCGTTATATTCCATTGTATTCATACTTAGTCATAGCTGTAAATTTAATTATATTTGTCTTGTAATTTGGATAACTCCTGTTAGACAATACACCTTTTTTTATTATTATTATTATTATGTTTTTTTTTAATGAAACCGTTCAACATACTTTTCTTTAATTTATTTTATATGCTTTGCTAAAACTATGTAATTGGGTCAAATGACTAAACTGAACGGTTCAAGGCGTGTTGCTGAATATTTGTTAATATAACTGTAAAATTCTGTTTTTTCTGGTCCAACAGATAAAGTTGATTAACAAGATTCCGATAAGTCAACAGAATAAGCGCCTCGTAATCGGTCTCTTTTAGTGCCGGATTATTTTGCGAATTGCTTTCGTCTCATCAACCAAAGTAATTTCCTGTATTCTCAGAAAAGCTCTCTTTCAAAGACCGTATAAAATACATGCAAATCAGTAATACTGTAGAAGCTACAAATCACTTCATTGGTCAGGCGAAAGGAGAAAAACAACCGGAACTGGGAAATAACTGAAACAAAACTTTTGGAAGTTTAATGGCGCACCTGGAATCCCAGAAACTTTTTCATAAAAAATAATATTCTTTCCGAATGAATGTTTGATTAAAAGGCGTTCGAATTAGCATTTTGATGTAGAACCTCCATTCTGGATCTCGTTTAAAAATCCTTCAGAACAAAGTTAAAAGTTAAAACGCTTTAGATAACATTTAACGATGTACGGCGGTTTTGACGGGGAGGGAGTGAAGTCAGAAGTTGAAGTAGCTATGACGATAATTAAATTTAGATGAAGCCGCTGAACAAGCGAAAATGAAGTTTTTATGGCAACAAAGTGGAATTGGAATTTAACAGAAGGGAACGTTCTCAAGCAGAATAATTGTGGTTTCTCGAGGTGGGTGAGGTATTGAGATTTATACGTTTGAAATTGTAGTCGAGGTTCGGGCCCAAAGTAACGGGATCCCTACGTAGTAATTGATCTTTCCTTCTGAAATGAATACTTTGTTGTGAAGTTTATCACGAAAGGTTGAGGAACATTACAAAGTTCGTAAAGTATCCATGAAGTTGCGATATTACGTTAAAGGTATATATAAACACTTCATTAGTATTAAAGTCAACTGAAATAAAGTTATACTGAAGTTAAGAATATTACTGGAGTTTTTTCCCAACACCAAATCGTTATTTTTAACACCTCGACACGTGTTTCGATCACCAAGTGATCATCTTCAAGAGGAAGATGAAACTGTTTTATCTTCCGAAATCGGCCATCACTACGCCCTTCGGGATGATCGAGTTCCTAGCGATGAGCTTTGGTCTTCGCAACGCTGCACAGACCTCCCAGCGGTTCATCGACGAGAAGCTACGTGGACTGGACTTCGTTTATGCCTACATTGACGACCTCCTGGTTGCATCCGAGAACGACGAAGAACACGAGAGGAACATCTCAGGCTACTGTTCGAACGTATCCAGGAGTTCGGCATCTGACACCTCCAAATGTTTTTTGGAGAGCCAGAAGTCAAGTTCCTTGGATACCTTGTGTCTGGCAAAGGTATGCAACCCCTTCCGAAGAAGGTATCCGCAATCTAGGAGTATCCACGGCCCAAAACTTGCACAAGACCTCCGGTAGTTTCTAGGTATGATTAACTTCTACAGACGTTTCATACGTAGGACTGCTAGGACCCAGGCGCCACTCAACGACCTCCTCAAGGGCAACATCAAGGGGAAGAAGCCAATTTCATGGAACGACACCGCCGAAGCTGCCTTCACTGCCTGCAAGGACATCCTAGCCAACGCAACACTCCTTGCTCACCCAAAGCTCGGCGCCAAACTCTCCTTGGTCTGCGATGCGTCGGACCACACCGTTGGGGCAGCTTTACACCAGCAAGACAACGGCGAATGGGAACCTCTGGGCTTCTTTTCGAAGAAGCTGAGCAACGCCGAGGCCAAATACTCTGCCTACGATCGAGAACTTCTGGCCATCCAACGCTGCCATCTCCTGCGACGCCTCCACGACGACAGCGCGGCCCTTCGCAGACCCTTCGTCGCCTTTCGCAGACCAGCCTTTGATGCCATCCACGGACTCTCGCATCCTGGTGCCAGAGCGACCACCAAACTCACCAGACAGCGCTACGTCTGGCCCTCCATCAACCAGGTATTGTCGGGCTTGGGCCCGCGCCTACATCCAGTGCCAACAGTCCAAGATCTCATGACATGTCTCAGCACTCATTGGCAACTTCTCAGCACCTTCTAGACGGTTCGAGCACGTCCACATCGACCTCATCGTCATGCCGTACTTCGAGGGATATAGGTATTGTCTTACCTGTGTCGATCGCTTTTCGCGATGACCAGAAGCAATACCTCTCCAGGACCAGGAAGCCGAGACCATTGTCAGGGCGTTCTACTCCACCTGGATCGCACGTTACGGCGTTCCACTCCGCCTAACCATAGACCAAGGTAGACAATTTGAGTCCCACCTGTTCCGGTGTCTCAACAAACTCATGGGTACCGACGTCCTACGGACAACAGCATACCATCTTGCAGTCAACGGCATGGTTGAGCGACTCCACCGACAACTGAAAGCCTCCATCAAGTGTCTGCAATTCGACAGATGGACACATACGCTCCCTACCGGTCTCCTGGGGATCCGTGCAGTTTGGAAGAAAGATCTGCAGGCCACTGCTGCCGATATGGTGTATGGTGAACCACTCCGTCTTTCTGGTGAATTCCTGATGTCCACCTCCACCAGGGACATAGATGACTTCATCCGTGAGCTGCGCCAGCATTTCCAGGCGGTCAGGCCAGTCAGCGGCATCAAACACGGCGAGCGAAAACTCTTAGTTTTCAAAGACCTTGCCACCGCAACCCACGTCTTCGTCAGGCACGACGCTCCCGAGCCGAGAAACACTTCACGCTCTCGATGCGAGGCAGAAACGTCCCAGTTTCTATCGACCGCTTGAAACCAGCCTACATCGTCTCCGAGGACATCGCTGCACCAGAGGGTACCACTGACCTCGACGACGATGACGACTTCATTCCAGTTTCTCCAGGAGATAATCGAGTTCCGCCGCAACAAGAAGCCGATAGCCTGTTTTATTCTTAACAAAAAATGTCTCTTGAGTTTTTTGACCAAAATAAACCAGTTCGCAACAAAAAATTATTTTACGAACAACTACAGAGATACATCGTCATAAATGCGAACTGGATTTATTGTTATTTTGTAGTTAGTACCTGCATTAAACGATTAAAGGGTAATAAACAAAACTAATTTAT